GTTTGCTACAAGGTCTTTCTAGCAGTGACATGCATTACTACAAGAGCTGATCTTCGTTAGAAGGCCCTCTTGGTAATTCTCTGCTCATTAGTGCTTTGGATAAACTAATAAATGGTTGAATTTTAGTCATATCATGGGAGTCCAAAACCTAAATTACCTCCTCCTTTATAAGAACCTATTAAAGCTTCATACTCATTAATTCTAGCACAGTTGGTAAGTGACATAATAAGCTCCCATAACCCTTGTGATAATTTATACCTCTGAAAGTATTTGTTTGTAACTGTCTGTGGATTTTGAAGAGACACTGTTAGGTCATTTAGGTCCCAAATTAAGTTTTTTTTTCTTTTGGGGGTGGGGAGGAGTTTTATGACCTAATTATAATAGAAATAGTTCATGAAAGTTTTTGAAAGAAAGGTAATTGAAAATGCTATTCTCTTTGGAGTGAGGGTGGTCTTGTGGTTAAAGCACTGGACTGGGACTAAGGGGATCTGAATTCATTTTCTGGCTTTGCCCATAAACTTCCCCTTTGACCTTGGGCAAGTCACGCTGAGAGTTGTAGTTTAAGGCCAGACGAGACCACCAGATCATCTATTCAGTCTGACCTCCTGTATATCATCGTCCACCAACACCTCCCAGCACCCGCACGCTAAACCTAGCTGTGCCTCAGTGTCTCGTCTGTGAAATGCTTCCAGTCTCCCACGCTTGTCTTTTCTTGTTTCAATTGTAAGCTCTTTGTGGCAGGGGTTGTCCCTCTTACTATGTCAGGCTGCAGTCACTATTGGAACCTCTAGGCTCTACCATAGTACAAATAAATAACAATAGTAACAGATGTTGCAAGACTAGAGAGCCCAGATATGAAACTAATGATTATTTTGACAGTTCCCAAAGTTGTGCTAGGCATATCACAGGAGAGAAGACCAGAGAAACTGCCTACAATGACATGTAGCCTATTTGTGACCGCCAGTAGTAAATATCTCTAATGATGGACACTAGATAGGGAGGCCTGAGTTACTACAAAGAATTCTTTGCCAAGTGTCTGGTTGGTGGTGTTGCCCACATGCTCAGGGTGTAACTGATGACCATATTTGGGGTTGGGAAGGAATTTTCACCCAAGTGAGATTGACAGAGACTATGAACAAACTAGAAAAGAAGCCTAGAAAAACAGACCTGTCTATTTTCCATTCTCTATGCGGATTAAAATGTATATATATAGATAGATAGATACAGCTAAGTAACTCAGTTGAGAACCAGTCGGGCAGCACTATAGGGGGGAAGGGCAAGGTACCTTCCTAACAACCCTCATCAAAACAAAGCAGTCAGAAATGACAGATGACGGTGCTGTGGCCACAGCAGAGACCTCAGACCCCAGCTGTTGCCAGTCCAGAGCCTAGAGTAAATGTGTCCTTTATTACAGTAACCCCAAAATGGCTTTTGTAAAAATAGTTTGTCGCTTTGTCATGAAACAGTTTCATTATCACTTTAAAAGGGAAGCTTATTTTTAAATGGCTGTTCCATTCAGTGCAGTTTGCATTTAGTCTGGGCTTGTTCCTGTTTGGTGAATTTATGATATAAACGCCAAAATATACAAGTCTTGATCACTTGGCAAACAACTTGGGTAAAACCGAGTATTTTATATGGATGAATTGTGCAGCTGCATGGAGTTTGTTTTCTAATGGATTAAATTAGCAAGAACTTCCATCAAGGTCAATAGACAAAGAACAGTACTCAGGCTTGCAAGTGTGAAGCTATATATGGGGTCCTTACATTGCAGGCCAGAAGTTAGCACTATTGAAGTAATACTCGGGTTGTGGTGCAAACCAGCAAAACCAAGGAAATTCATAGTTAAAATGGAAAACACCATAGTGGTGTTTCCTCTCCTCAGCTGTGTTCTGCCCAGGGGTCTCGCAGGTCTGATGTCCATGAGGAGTTTTCCTCAAAACTGTTGTTCAGTGGGAAACTGGGTTTTTGACAAAATGGAATTTTTCATGCAAAGTATGTGCCTTCTCCAGAAACTTAGTTTTTTTTCATCAAAAAAATGAACACTTGAAAACTGAAATATTTCAGCGTGTGAACGTTGCTGCAGTGCCTTTTGGGGATTCGAGTTCAGCTGCTTCATGTTCACATTTTCCTCTGTGGGCCAGGCTCCCGGCCAGATGACCTCTCCCATGAGGGCCCATGGCCAGGGGCTCACATGATGCACCATCTCCCGCTCCAAGAGCGGAGGCCATTGTGCATCATGGGTATGTCGTCTGAGCATGAAGCCTATAGAGAAGAATGGGAATGTGAGGCAGCTGACCTACAACTTCCATAAAACAACTGAGCAGCACTTACAAATTTAAGTATTCAAGTTTATGGCTGAAATATTTTGATATTCAAATTTCCACTGAAAATGAAAAATATCCAGGGGAGGCAAATTTTTTGACCAGCTTTAATCCTAACGCTTAATTGCCACAGGACAACCTAAAGATAGAGGCCCAGAACTTCAGCTAGTGTCAACTGGTTTCGCTACATTGAGCACACTAGCTGAGGATCTGATCCACTGATGTCCAGTTACAAATCCAGACCTGAACTTCCTCCGATCTGGACAAGGATCTGAAGCTGAGCTAAATTTAAGGTGTATTTGAATCATAGGTTTGGACCCATCTTCGAATGATGGAGGGTGAAATCCTGATTCCATTGAAGTCAGTGGAAGTGTTGCAATTGACATCAGCAGGACCAGGGTTTCACCTTGAGGTTGAGTGGCAGTTTACTGATTATTCTCATTAATTGGTGTAAACTGGGAGTAACTCTGTTGAAGTAAATAGTTACACCAGAGTAAAATCAATGCCAGTGCAAAATCAGACCCTGGAATTGCAGTCTCAATGTGTATGTATAACTGTTGTTAAAATTGATGGAAGTTAAACAAACAGCTTACCTATGAGAAACATCAAGGCTTTAAACTTCTTTTCTTTTGTCACCATCTCATATAAAACTAAACACGACAGATTTCTACTACAGTAAGTGCCCAATGTGCTGCAGCATGTTGCTACGAGCTCTTGTGTTTTGGAACATCATGATTGAATATAGATGCCTGGAGCTTTGTGTCCAGCCTTAGGGTTGTTTTGTCTGTGCAGCTCCTGGCTGGCTGGATAGATAAAATTCTGCTCCATTTTGAATGCAGTGGCTGTTTCAGAGCTACTGAATGGGTCAGTTAACTTTTAAAACTCTTCCCGCCCCTTGTGCTCTGCCCAGCCTTCTCTCCTGGAGTCGTCTTCACCCATTCTGTGGGCACCATCACACCACCTCATATTTCTGAAACAAAGTCTCCATTAAGGTCCATGAGTTCCATGAAACATTCCAGTGGTACTAACCATATGCAAGTCTGTGTGTGTTCTACATTGTAAAGTATGACCACGGGAAGGGCCAAATCCTCAGTCACGTGAGTATCCCCATTGAAATCTGTGCAGCGACTCTCAGGGGACTAGGATTTGGACTCTGGACCATGAGCCCTTCAAGTCAGGGACTTATTTGTTTGCCCCAGCCCACCCAGCATGCAGCATCATATGCGGTTATGACTCCACTGCATTTTGTAGGCTATCCCACATTTTGGCCATTTTTCTAGCTTTTTCCTGCCTCAAGAAGGAGTGGAGACAGCCTCTCTGGCCCTGCCAGAAACCAGGCTGTACAATGGCGCTGTGTGTGCATGACTGCGATTCTAGTGATTTTTTTTTCTTTCTTTTTGCCTTCCTGCTTGCTGGGGGATCAGGAGGAGGGCAGGGCAGGGTTTAATTCTGACAAGCCGCAGGAATGGGAAGCTCTGGGCAGAGGAGAACAGCAGCAGCAGGAGCAGAACTTAGATAACTTATTGTAGAGATGACCCCCATGTTTCCCCTTCCCAGTTAAGCATAGTGGTTTATAAAGTGTTTTGAAGTGAAAGATAATACATTAGCCTAAGGGATGAAGTCTTGCCCCCTTGCAGTCTGTGGGAGCTTTGACATTGACTTCTCAAAGGCCAGGATTTCACCCTAGATATTAACCTTGGGTTATCCATTTGCCATAAAATACACAAATAAGGGAGCCAAAATCATCCTCCCTCATGAACTATTTGTCTTTTCTTTGAAATAAAATAAAATAAAAAAATAAAATTGGCCAAAATAACATTTTGTTTAATTGAAGAAAGAGAAACGGCCCCAGGCCTGATGCCTAATGTAGTGAGCTTCAGCTTACAGAAAATGTCTGTAGCTCAATTACAAACCTCAAAAAGAGAGAGGGCTTTGTAGGGGTAATGCTGACACAACTGCAAAAAAAAAAAAAAAAAACCCAAAAACAAAAGGCCCAATCCTGCCTAGTCCTGCTTCAGTACTGTTGACCCGTGGCATGTTGTAATGTGAGGCTCTAGGGAACAAGTTGTAAACCTGGTGGCACTAATTCCAAAATCATTTATTTTACTGACAGCACCTACTGTTTTCGTACTGCAGCTTTGCTTGAATTTCATTCACTTCCTTGACCCTACTCACAGTGAGTAAAGCAAGCAGGATTTAGTGCCATCAGTACCTCTAAGTGAGCTGCTGTTAAAGTACCAGCAGCCCTCGGCTTTATGACGTTCGAGTTACGACAAAAGGCACTTAGGACGTTTATAAATCGTCATAGTGTTTTGACTTTACGACGTTGGTTTTGACTTTACGATGCTCGATCCAACATGGTTCCTATGGGAAATTCGAGTTATGACATTTTCGACTTATGGCTCGATTTTCAGGAACCAATTGTGTCGTAAGTCCAAGGACTGCCTGTACTCGATCTAAACAGCACCTGTATGGTGCTGAATGCTGTTATCTGACTAAGGTAAACCATTGATTGTCACCAATTGATGGTATTTCCGCAGGTTTCATCTCTTGGCTTCTAGGTGCATGAGATTAGCAAGGATACAAGTGCCATGGCTGTTGTCATCAGTCAAGCCAGGCTCTTTGATCACTGTTTGATCCCTGCGTTATTTAGTTATTTATTTTTCTTCTCCGTCACAGAATATCTGGGGAGCGAGACTGCCTTTCTGGAGGAATTGGTGTTTGGAAGTGGAGATACCATTGAACTTTCCTGTAACACCCAGGGCTCTTCCATGTCAGTTTTCTGGTTCAAAGATGGCATTGGGATTGCACCTACCAACAGAACGCATATTGGACAAAAACTGTTGAAGATAATTAATGTGTCATATGAGGACTCTGGGCTGTACAGTTGCAAGCCACGGCATTCCAGTGAGGTTCTGGGTAACTTTACAGTCAGAGTAACAGGTGAGTGCTGTAATGCAAATTTTTTTTGTTTTGTTTTTTATTCTTGTTTCTACAGATGGCCAACATAGCTGCCATTCGTTCTCTGTATTCTGCGGGCTTCTACATGAACTCTCAATTTCTAGCAAAGTCAAAGTAGACAGAAGTAGAAACCACTTTTCCGTAATGCATGTTAGTCTAGAGATTCATATCATGGGAGCTTTGAAAATGCTGTTATACAGATTGAAACCAAAATCCCCCTGAATGCTTATAGATGTTTAATTCACAGTACTTGGTAAAGTACCATAAATGATACACATCCCTTTGAGGTATTTTATGGATGGGTAAACTGAGGCTCACTGAGAAATAGAACTCAGGAGTCCCGACTACTAATCCCCAGTTCTAGCTGATAGACAGTACTTCCTCCCTAACCACATGACATAATTTTGCGGATCCATTTTAGAAATATCATTTTTGTACACAATCTATTTGGGAATCTTAGGGCATTAAATTTATTATTGCATACTACATCTTTGCACTAGTGTTGGCACAGAGGGTGGAAACACGGACTTTCACAGATTCTAAAGTCAGAAGGGACATTGAAATAATCTAATCTTACCTCCTGTATAGTACAGGTCATAGAACTTCCCCAAAATAATTCCAAGAGCAGACCTTTTAGAAAAACATCCAATCTTGATTTTAGAACTTGCCAGTGATGGAGAATCCACTGCAACCCCCTGTAAATTGTTCCAGCACTTAATTACTCTCACTGTTAAAAATGTACATCTTACTCCCTTGGCCCTATTCATCCCTCTGTCATTAGCTGCTACTTCCATCTGCTTTGTGGTGTTGTGATGGACTGTTTTGCCCTTCCCGCTAAGGGTTCTTCATAACATTTCTCTTGGGCACCCTCATTTCCTCACACCAGTTGGTTTCCACTTGACAGCTTCATGTGGAGTCTGTGTGTTGACATCCAGAGTATGTGCCCCAAATATGTGCAATGTTCCCCTTCTCATTCTAGTGGAAATGGGCTCCTGGTTTTCAGTGGCATTAAACGGAACATATCAAAACTTTCAAACAAATATGTGTCAATGAAACAGCTCCTGTCATTTGCCTAACCTTTTTAGCATAATTAAGATAATTAGGGCTGGACAACCATAAACTGCTCCAAACATAGATTACTGAACTCTAAGGTGCCAGAATGTCTCTGTTTCTGACAAGTAATTAGTAGATAATTAGCTAAGAACACCCATCATTATTGAAAACTGCTGGACAGGTGGTTGGATAAACATCAGTCATTAGTTGATGATAATCCTGATTAAATAGATTAAGGCATTGGTTCTCAAACTTTGGTATTGGTGACCTCTATTCATACAGCAAGCCTCTGAGTGTGACCCACTCACTATAAAATTTTAATTTTATAAATTAAAAACACATTTTTTATATTTAACACCATTATAAATGCTGGAGGCAAAGCAACGTCTGGGGGTGGAGGTAACATCTTGCGACCCTCCATGTAATAACCTTACAACCCTATGAGGGGTCATGACCCCCAGTTTGAGAACCCCTGGATTAAGGCCTGGTTTTCAAAGTATCTACGGATTTTGAGTCACCTATGGGCACTTTGAACCTATCTCCGTTTACTTCCTTTGGAGTTGAGTGCTAAGCATTTCAGTAAACTAGGCCCTGGACCCAGATCCTCCAAGGTATTTAGGTGCCAAAAATACCTTTTGAAGATATTGGCCTGGGTGTCTCAAATTGGACACTCAAAAATGGAGGCACCCACTTCTGATCACAGGGGGTCTCTCACCATAGCTGGAACATTGTACAAATAATGAAATCCAAATTGTTTAAGGAAAAATCTTAATCTTGACAAACATCTGATTGTAATTGAACATTATTGGAGATCACTGTGAACATTTCAGGGTCATATCAATTAAATGGTTAAAGAAGTATTTGGCTCATGAAAGATTTTCTTTAACTAGGTGCGATTATTGGGAATAGGGAACTTCAGGTTGTTAAAAAAAAAAAAAAAAAAGATACAAACATTTCTAAAGTGTCATTAAAATGCCTTTGAGTTCAAGGGGCAACGGAGGCAGGAAAGGGCAGCTGGCTATACGCTCAAGTGAAACAGCTGTCAGACCAAAAAGTGGTAAAGTGAGAAATTGTTTTTAATAGTGGAAAGACTGATAATCTTGTGCTTTTAAAAGTTTAAGCCCCTGTGTTTTTCTTCTTGGCTAATAATAGCTAATAACCGCTTGAGAGCAAGTGAGTAACCTGAACCACCATTCTGCCAACATTATGCATCTTTGATTCTGTTAGCTCAGTGTCATTACAACCAAAGTGCTGCTGGGAGTTTCAGTTTTAGCTGTCAGCCATGTTTGTTTTAAACTTTGAAGCCTTTGCATTGGGTGGCACTAGTGGCTCCTGTTATATTCGCTTATATTTCTTCATAATTACTACTGATTGCTTAGCGTTCAACTCCAAGAGTGAGACTGTAATCTGAGAGTGGGGTTTACATTCCTGCATTTTAAAAGTAACACCAGGGTTAGTTAGAATTCCTTAGATATCTAAATATTTGTTCGCTAAGATTATGTGGCATAATTACTCAGTTACCCTGGTATTGGTAGTAACAAACTGGAGTTTACTCTGTAACTGAGCAAAAGTAGGTCCTTTAAACTTATAGACATGCGTGTTTAAAATTTCCGTTTAATAAATGGTACAGGTACCTAGTGTCTCTGAGAGAGAGCTTCCTTCTTAGTGATGCTTCCAGACCCTCATTAGATTTACTCAGGAGGACCAGATTACTATGTTAATGTCCATCCCTTCCGGGGTAACTAAGTTCAACAAACAGTTCCTACACCTGATGTCAGGTCCTGGCCCCTGACTGTGCTCATGCTGCTTTGCCAATGGTGGCCAGGCACTCCCCTCTACACTAGGTTCCAGCCCAGGGACCCTATAACTGTCAGCCATGGTTTACATAGTTCCCTTGCTGGTGTTTTCCTGGGTCTCTTCCTACCGAGCCTCTCTCAGCCTTTCTTCCCCACAACTTCCCTGGGTTGACCCTTCTTTCAGGGTTAGGATCCCAGGGTTTATTCTTCCCTCCATCCGTCCAGGTTTCTTCCGCTGTTCCTAAAGAGAGTGACTGTGCGCTCTCTTCTGCTCTTAGCTTCCTGGCTTTGTACTAACCAGCTTGCTCCTGCTCAGCTGGGCTTCATGATCAGTTAAGCCTGATTTTCCCTCAAGGTGCAGCCAGGTACCATAGTAGACCTGTCAGGTCCATATTAACCCTTTCGGGGCCTGTGTGAGGTGTACACCCTCTATCACAAGGAGTAAAACAAATCCACTTTTTCATTAAGGTGGTTTGGAGATCAGGTTCAAAATTATTGCCTTGTACAGTAAAGGTTAATCAAAGAATAGATTTGTGTATGAATAGACTTAGAACCTTTTAAGCTTTGTCTTTAAAACACAGGACCCTGGGTGCGGGTGGGATTCAGGACTTCACTAGTTAAGAAGTGACTTACCACCATTTCCCACCTGCAAACATTAATGCTTACATCTGTCTTTAAAAAAAAAAAAAAATTGATCCTGCATGCCAATTATTGACGCTCGAGTTCTGCAAGCCTCCCATGAACAGAATTGCCCATGGAGCTGATGGGTGAGTGGAGTCATGGCAGGACAGGATCTCAGGTTACTAGTACTTGCTCTTTTCTCACAGTGCCCAAATGCAGCTTTTGAAAACTCCAGGCCAAGATTTTCAAAAATGGGTGCTTAATGCCAAGGTCCTGTGATCCTATTTAGGCACTGACACAAGTGACTTGATTTTTCAAAAGTAGTGTGTGCCCAGCAGGTCCCATTGAATTCAGTTCCAATCTGGAACTCTCAGCACTTCTGAAGTCAATCCGCTTCTTTAGGCACCTGAATATGAACTTAGTCTCCTAACTTTAGACACCCATTTTTAAAACCTTGATTCTAGTCTTTCTGAACAGACTCAGCATTGTGAGTAAGATGAGACAGACCGTTTCTTTCTGTCAGTGATAACACTTACCCTGATAGGAAAGGAAAACACCATCCATGAAATCTGTTTGATTTCTTGTCAAAGTATAGTATTTAGTGAAGAATGTGCTTTCCCACCCCCCCACCCCCTCCCACACAGTTAAGACTAGTATATTTTAAAGCATATAAATATCATTATAATCATGCATGCCAAAATAAGGATTACCAAACCTCATGCTTTCAAGATGCAGGGTGAGGAAGGATTTTACCCCTTCCTCTCCCTTGTACAGCAGTGCACGTTTGGTCATGTTCTTGTCTTCATCAGGATCTGTAGCAGATATTGTCAAAGGACCCAGTTCAGCAAAGCACTTAAGCACATGGAAAACTTTCACCAAGTCCCATGGGATTTTAGTGGGACTTAGACACATGCCGAAAGTTGTGCACATGCTTAAATGAATCTGGGCCAAACACAGGATGCTAGGTATGATGTCCCGATAATCTAATGCAATATGGTAACTCCTGTGTTTCTATACAGTGAATATTTCTGCAGGTTTCTCCAGATTCTGTAGAACAGTAATATGTTTGTTAGCTTTTTCACTGTATTTATCAGTCAGCTGGGTAGAAGACGATACAAAAATTGCAAGAACTCATCTTGGAACAAAGGCTATTCTGCCCAACTTTGGCTAAATTGGATGCATTACGTTTCTGGCCACATGTTGAACGTTCATAGAATTTCCTACTGCCTAAAAATCTACTGCCAATTTCTTTTACTGCTATATCAAAATGTAAAAACAGCTGCATAATATTATGCCTTTTTTATATTTACTGGAGATTATTTAAAGTAAGAAGCAATGAATAATGCTCAATCTTACAAACAGGCTTCAGGGTATTATTTTATTGGTTGGTGGTTTCTAAACTAACAGTAGCCACTCAGAAAAAAAGAACTAACAACATTTTGTAGGCAGCTCAATAAATGCAAACATGGTGTTAGGTGATGTGAAATGGTAGGGGTGAATATAGAAAATAATATAAAGCTATTACATATTGGTAATATGCTCTCACCTGGCATATGCATTTTTGGTCTCAAAAAGAATATATCCCATTGCAGAAAGGATATAACCAAAAAAGAAGAGATCCAGAGAAGGGTAGTAGTGAAAGTGCCTAGAAGCATGGAGCGACTTGGATATGAGGAGAGATTTTGAAAGATTGGGGTTGTGTAAGTTTAGAGAGGAGCTAACAAGAGGTGACATAACAGTGGGGTATTAATTTAATGAATAGTCTAGAGACAACAAACTAGATTCTCCCATTTTCCCTTTGAGACCTAATGAAATGAAAAGAGCTCAGATTTAAAGCTGGCAAAAGGAAATTCTGTTTTTGTCAAAGAAGCTTCCCCTTTAGGTAGCCTTAGTCCATTGTTATGGGGTTTTTTTACATCTGAAATACTTGATGCTGACCATTACTGGATGTGGGGTATTGGAGTAGTGGACAATTGGTTGGATCTGGTCTGACAGTCTCAGTGTTAGTCAACTGTATGAGGAGATAAAGTGCATCGTTGGGCCTCACACTCGCAAGGTGCAGTGGGAGCAGTGGCTCTATTACATGATGCCACCCAGAGGCGGCGCGTGACCTCACATGCTCTCCCCCTCCCTCCGATTTCTGCCTTCCATTTGGCCCTGCTCCCTGAAATGCTGATGTAGCAGGGCAGAGCCCACCCAGTCCCATGCTGTCTCTAGCCCCCCACCCCAAGAGTTACACATTGTCTCTGATCCCACCTGACACCCAGACACTTCAAAGCCCTTCTGCATGGTCAGGGCTTTGTGGCTCCTGGAGGCAGAGCAAGGGAGCAGCTGCTTTGCGTGACATGGACTGTTTGGAACCAAGGAGTTTTTCCATCAGAAATCTACCGAGCTGTAGTAGCTGCAGAAGACTATCACGTGATTCCTCTGGGCGGGTTTTGTCCAGAACATCCATATAGACTGGACGCCCTGGCCGTGACCCCAGCTTCCCCTCGAATCCTCCCTCACTGTGTTTCTACAGAGCAGCACAAAACAGGCAAGAGATGCAGAGCACCTGTACCCACGGCCCCCACCCTGTACTGCAGTTCAGCTGCTCATGCCTAGAGGAGCATCATGACATGGCCATTGCAAATCTGTGCGCTGAGTCTCCAGAGCTGAAAACACTAACAACTCCACTGGCAGGCAGAGCTGCACTTACATAAAGTACCTGCTTTCCTAGGCTGGGTCTGCACTGCGTACTTACTTCAGCATGAAAAATCCACATCCGAGCGACGCGGTTTTGCTGCCCTTAACCCCCCATGTAGACAGTGCTGTGTCGGCAGGAGACTTTCTCCTGCCAGCTGTCACGGAGGTGGATTTATTAAGCCCACAGGAGAGCTCCCGTCAACTTGAAGCGCCTTCACCAAACGTGCTGTAGCGGCGCTGATATATAAATTTGTAGTGTAGACCTGCCCCATGTCTCCTGATTGTAATGAAGGCACCATGCTGCAGTTGTGACCGAGTGGCAAATGGTGGGTTTCCCTGTCCTCCTATCCCAAGTATCTTCCCCTTTGTAGTACTTAGTTCCCAAGAGTGTTAGTGGAAAGACCTGGTCTGGGGAACAGGTGAGAAGAGTCTGTGTCAGAAAAATAAGGGTGAGGAGGATGAAATGAAAAGGAAATAAAATTCTAATTGAATCGCTCTTGTGATTTCACCATTGCAGTAGTTCACTAGTCATCATAGGCCTTCAAAGACTTAACACACATGCTTAATGTAATGCACCATATGTGATCCCATAGCAATGTGGAGTCAATGGGACTACTCAGAGTGTGTAATGTTATGCACACTGGTAAGTCTTTGCAAGATCAGGGATTCAGAGTCTTTCAGCCTAGACAGGAGCTGAGGTCCAGCTCCTCAAAAATATTGAGGCACCTGGCACCCATGAGTTAGGCCCCTAAATACTTTTGAGCATCTGGACCTGAATATCTAAGATTTGAAATAACCAGACAGGATCCTTCTTGGGGAAAATACTTTCCGGCAATCTTTAGCCACCATAAAGAAGAAGAAAAAAATCACAAGTCTTGGGGGTAGGAGGTTGTTTGTTGGTTATTTTGGTTTTTTTTGCTGATCATCTTTAACACAAGGTTGAGGGAAACAATTCACACTTCTGCTGCTTCTGCTGTTTGATTAGCTGTTCTGCATGGGCAAGTTGATAGCAGTGGAAAGGAGGAGAGCTTCCTTTATTATTCTCTTGGATGAAATCTTAGATTCTGCAGAAGACAGTAAAAAATCGCAGAAAGGCCTTGAAGTTAGAGTTTCTGAGACATACAGGGCCTAGTTTTCAGTAGGGCTGCAGCTGCCCTCCGTTTTGGCATGTGGTATTTGTCCATCAATCTCCATTCCCCAGAAGTGACCGATCCTCTTTTGGACAAATGTGAAAAATCCTCTCAGTTGTGCCCAAGAATGCAGTTATGGAGGGTGGGGGAAGGTGCAACGTTTCCCATACGGAAGCTGCCTCTTGAGAGTCTGCTCCATGGTCGTTTTAATGACGGAGTTTAATCTACCGTTTCTCGTAGTGGTATCAAGAAAATGAAATACTGAAACACCAATAGTAGCAGCACAAGAAGTGACTTTTTTTTCTTCCCTTTCAAGATTCTCCATCATCAGGTGACGATGAAGATGATGATGATGAGTCTGAAGACACAGGTAATGGCTTGTTCCTGAATGCATAGTCTGTTTCTTTAAAGATGTCGTTCATACTATTTCCACTCAAGAAGATGGTGTTTTCATTGATTACAATATAGGGCATACAGCATATTATTATTATTCAGAATGTATATGGGGAACTGTGCAGCCTGGTGGATAGGGCACAATCATGCACTCAGGAGACCTGAGCTCTTGTCCTATCTGTGCTGTGGACTCACTTGGTGACCTGGGACAAGGGACAGAACATCTCTCTGCCTCAGTTTCCCTGTCCGTAAAACAGGAATGTGTTACCTACCGTTTGAAGTGCACTAAGGAGGTATCTTACCTCCTTCAAAGTTGAAGGTGATAGCCTGTAGCATTGGAAATAAGAATTCCCCTAGATTTGGTACCTAGCCACCATAATGATGTGTGCTCTAGAAGTTCATAAATGATGGTAGGGCAGATATTTATTATAAGGTCTTTATATTTATGCTCAAATACCAGGGTGGTGATGACCTTCTAAAAATCTAGGTAGATTTGACCTATTGCTTCAGCTTCTTGAACTATGGTATTAAACTGTCCTTATATTTAAATTCAGGCAAACTCATTCTACTTGTGTTTTTTATTTCAGTGTCGCTATACTGATTCTACACCAGTGGAGTATCTGAGCCTGTATTTTCTTTAGCCAGTTTAATGCTTTCTTTACTAGCTAGCTTTTTGAGGGAAGGAGCAGCCTTAGGCAAGATTCATTGATGCCCTAAGCAAGTACAACTCCATTTGATCTACACCCTCTGATACTCATAGTGAAATCAGTCCCAAATCTGAGCCTCACATTGTTTTCCTTTTTCAGTGAGGCTCTGTCAACCCTTGTGCGTGGTACTTTGAGTGTAATCTCATTAATCTGGATCATTACATGCTTCAGAGGCGTTAGTGTTGTCTTTTATTATTCACTTTATATTTCTGCAAGGCACATTGCCTGTGTGTGTGTGTGTTAATAAATCTATGTCTAGTATTTGAACTCCAAATCAGCTCTGTACCTTGGCAGAAATTCAGCATGACTGGAACATTTCTCCTACCCACAGCATTAGATCTCTAGGACTCTGTAAAACAGGTCTGCCACTGTAATAAATTTGTACCAGGGTGTCTTGCAAGAGGTGAACAGTAATTGGGAGTTACAGTGCCAGCTGAGCCATCGGCAACAGTTAGTGGTTTTCTGATACCTGCTCGTTAAGGGCCTGCTACTGACCAGCACCTCCTGACAAACACTCAGCACCTTTAATGCTTTGAAGCCAGTGGAAGTGAAGCAAGTAGTCAGCACTACTCAGGATTTGGCCCTGACTTAGAGAAACTCTTGATTTAACACAATTTATCGTTCTTTGCTGGTTTATTTATAGATATTTTTTTAAAAATATGGGTTATGGTAAACTGCTTCATCTCTTAGCACTGGGTGTCACAAAACACAGGCTGTGTGGTGTTACAAAAGGACACATTTTTCTTAAATTAAAAAGAAAAACCACACGTGTTTTGCCACATGTATTTATAGCTTATATTCTGGGTTTCCTTGACTTTCAGGGCTTCTTTTTTTAGAGCAGAAGGTAACCACTAGATTTACACCAAGGCCTCGCTATGAAGAGCTGGATTCTCTTTGGCTATACAATGGTCAATTAGGCTAGTGTGCGAAAACAGAAAGCTGTGAAATCATGTGGCTTGTGGCAGTGTGAAAGTGCTTTTTCCACCAGATGTAGGCGGACCCGCCAGTTAATCTTTGTCCAGTGTTCCTGAGTTTATTGCATAAATGGGAACCATGTCGTCAATCCCTTTGCTGCTGTATGGGACGCTTTGACACATGACCATCTATGGTATGGTAATCGTAAGTGCCAAAGATGGAAAAGATGTGTTTGATCATCTAGGTCTCCCCCTAACTCGCAGGGCAATGTATTCAGAGTTCTTTACCCCACGGCCTTATGTGTAGCCCTGATCCCACACTTCCCACTGGCAAAAAGCAGTCGGTACATGCCAGTGAAAACCATGCTGACTATTAGCGGAAACCTTCTGTATGTGCACGTGTGAAAAGGGGCCAATCTGGGGGGATGCCTGTTGTTCCTTCTCCCCCCACCCTCATTGGCTCATGCAGCCAGAGCGCGAGCAGGGGTCAGTACAGAGGCCCAGTGCTTCCTCACAAATGACCCTGTGCCTCTTACAGAGATCTGCACAGATCACGAGGGAGCAATACCATGTAGGACCCAAGCCCCTTGCCTTTCCACAGAAACCTGCCCCAAGAAGAGTCCTCCACGGGAACCTGGCAGAGCTTCTTCCCCACTCTCTCTCAGGTTTTCCCCACAGGAGAGAGAATATTGTGACCCTTCGTTCTCAGTCCACGATTTTATCAGGAGTCTCACAATACATGGAGTTTTTCTTAGAGCTCCAGTTCCTGGAGTCATGTGATAATGTGAGACTCTCAGCTTATTTCATTTTGGTTTTGGTTTTTAAATTGTTTCTAGCTCTTGTGGCTGCAGAGAAAAGCTTGAAAATGCAACCCCCAAAGGTTTCCAAGATCAGAAGGGAAGTATAAGACCCATCCGACCCCAAGTGTATTCTTTTTCTAACGTTGTGGGTTTTAAGCCAATCTCAGGATCTTTTGGCGCCTGACTTGTGATTTTTTGAATGATTGGGGCTGGTAGCATCGGAGCTGGGAAACAAAGCAAAGACTCTCCTAAGCGGGACAGATACATGATGCAGAAACCCTGTAGAACGTTGAGGCAATGCATCTGCATAGAGTTCTCTGCTACTTCCATCTTCTTTTAATCCTCAGAAGTTTACCTGGCTAATACAAGTGGCACTTCTTGGATGTACTACTCTTTGGATCCATGCATATGATACAAAGGTATAGACAGAGATAGTCAGTGACTTCAGTGGAGCTGTAACAGTTTACAGCAGCTGAGGATCTCTCCCATTAAGTCAAGTTTTCGAGGACTAAGCCAAGCATGAAGTTCTAGAGATTACAGTCTGGGCACATCTAGTTCCATGAGAAGATACAAAACTGGGCAAAGGCCCAGAATTATTGAGGGCTTCAATGGAAATGGAAACCTAATAGTAAAATTGGAGGTGACCCCTCCTTAAAAAACAAAAAACATCTGGGAATAGCTTCTGTAACTTCAAATCACACCCGATTTGCTGCAGCCAAGTTACAAATTGCGATCTGTGCTTGCAGCACCTAAATTATCCACAGCTGATTCTAAAACTAAAATAAAACTTCTTTCAGACCCACCTCCCCTACCCCTCCAATTTTATCTATTTATTCGGAGTCCCTGCTGCCTAGCCGGAGCACCTTCAAAGAACCAGTGTAATCTCCAATTAAATCTGACTGTGTACTCAGAGGCATCAGATGGGGAAATTACACAATTAGACTTGATTCTGTCTAGTGCAGAATTTCATGGCAGTACCTAATTGTTAAATGAGCGCTCAGCTACATTAATTATTCCAAGTATCGCTCCTCTTTTTTTAATTAGTCATTCAAATAGAATGGGTGGCCAGAATCTTCAACAAATAAAGTAGATCATTAGGCTTAGTATGTGATTTGTGGGAAAGGATCTAGATAATATTTGCTGTTCCATTTTTCACAACAGTGCATGTAGATTTACTGCCCATAGTTAATTTAGAGGGTATTTATTTAAAATTTCACTTTTTCGCCCTCAGTGTTTTGTGCTCAAGGCACTCACAGGGGTTTGTGATTTGCATTTCAGAGAAGACTTAGCAGCATTTTCTCCCATACAAATAAAAAACGATCTACGTGCAAGTTAAACTAAAAGCGCTGGTATTCTGTCAGCTTCCCTGGATAGCAAGAATGAACACACCTTAAATGGGAGACTGGCCATGGATATTTATTCTCAGGCCAAGCCTGACGCTAGTTGTGTCCAAATTGCACAGGGGTGGGACTTCTTCAGCACAGGAGATCCCAAGATTTTAGAGGTCCTTTTATGAATGTGCAGTCATGTGGAATAGGACTCCAGTGAAGGAGGTAGGTCATGGAATAGAGCAATTAGTTTAATCGCTGTGGGCCTGATCCTGCTGGTGCCCACTGCACTGCTTCCTCTGCCTTGCAGGCTTTAAGGGCCCAATCCTGATCCCCACAATGTCCAGCAATAAAATGTCCTTGGGTTTCAGTGGCAGTATTTGTTGCCAGTGATTGATGCAACCTGAACTTCTCTCATTAAATTCAAACGCGTCTTTAAGTGAATTTTGATCTGAGTGAAGTTCCTTTTGCTTGGGAAGTTTAGATCTCAACCTTGGCCTGTTCTGCTCCCCACAGATTTGGGAAGATAGAAATGGGGAGGGTCTAGAACATATGAAGTATAACATTGGCAAGGAGCAGTCGTCATGAAGCATCCACACATGTCTGTTGCTTCATGACTCACAAAGCAACAAAGCTCCCAGCACCTGTGAACTGTGGCTGTCTTATTACACCTCAGTTATTATATGGCATTTGAAACCTCTCTCATATTCATTTGCTGTGCACCCAAGTTTACTGCATCCGTGATTTCCAAAGAACATATTAACTGTACAATTCCTACATTTCCTTTTGTTGTTGTTGCTTATTGCTACACATGCTTTAATCCAGTTGTAGCTGGCACAGTTCTGATCCCCGTGGAGTCAGGGCCTTAAGCTGTCTACTCAGCATAGTAATGTTTAAAAACTAGGTGAAATGGGGGTGATTTTGCTGCTAGGGTCAGATTCTGACTTCTGAAATGCACAAGCAGCTCCCACGGGAATCAACGAGAGCTGTTCAAGCATGTATGAGGAGAGAGTCAGGCCCTCCATACTTAGTCTTCAGGATTACAGTTGTTGAAAGGCTGTTGAAGTATTTGGGTCCATGTGGTCTGCAGTCTGGTTGATGAAGCGTTAAAACGAATTAGAGTTGAGAGCAGTGCAAACTATACAACTGTTCTCCGCAACTAGAGAGATGTGCGCTCCTGAGTCTACAGTTTCCACCGCCTTTCTCACAACCTGATGGCTTTCCAGCAAGGCAGGACATGGAACTTGTGTCTAATGTTTGCAGATGCTAAAAATGCATGCTGGCTGGTCCAGTTTATGAAGCCTACGCTACAAGAACTTGCTTGCCAGTTCCTTGGGCCCTGGCATCAGCTAGCTTAAGGCACACATTTTTAACAGTGAGAGTAACTATCCATTGGGACAGTTTACCAAGGGTCATGGTGGATTCTCCATCCCTGACCATTTTTAAACCAAGTTACAATGTCTGTCTAAAAGATCTGCTCTAGGAATTATTTTGGGGAAGTTCTGTGGCCTGTGTTATACAGGAAGTCAGAGTAGGTGATCACAATGGCCCCTTCTGGCCTTCGAAAGCTATGCCCAGTTGGAGAAAGTAGGAGGGAATGGAGATTAGATAGTGAGGACTCTTAGTCAGTGAGGTGCATGTCACTTCAGTGAGCTATGCACTAAGCAATTGAAAATCTAATCTCAGCAGAGACAGTCACTTTGTCAAAATCTGCTCCTGGTTACAATGATGTAAATTCAGAGTAACCACCCCTGTGATTTTAATGGAAGGACTTCAGATTGTAATCATATTTATAGTACTTCACAGCTGGGGGCTAAGGGAGTTAGGCACTCTTGACTCAGTGGGATTCAGGCACTCGACTCCCTTAGGTACCTTTGAAAATCCCAGCCTATGTGTTATCAATATTAAGGATGAAATTCTTGTCACATTTGGATCGATGAAGTTCACTTTACAAGCTTGATTGTGCCCAGCTCTGCATGGGTGCATATGAAGGTGAAGAGGGTGCAAAGAGCATTCCCCACATGGTTGCACCCCTGTGTCCTGGACTCAGTGCAAGAGCCCGATGAGAATAGCTCCTCTCCAAGGGGGCAGGAAGGGGTGGGATATCCATTCCTGCTGTGCTTCCTTGAAATCTGGGGGTCATCGTGCTAGCACAGTGTCTTCGGCAGCTTTCCTCTGGGGTGGCGCATAGGGGTGCAGGTCGGGTGATGCCCCCAGCACATGGCCGTGGAGGAAAAGTGCTCACTAATTAATCCCATCCCCTACTTTATCCTTTGGGGCATAGCTTTGCAGGTTAGGTGATGCAAACGCCCAAGGAATTTGCAAGCAAGTTCTTGTAACTCAGACTAGATAAGCTGCAGCACCCAGATCAGGAAAAAATGACTTCATGGCCCCAGTGTTGGTGTGCTGTTATAGACTTGGGCTCTATGATGTAAGATCAGCCCTGTTTTTATTTTTTTAGATACAAGTAGAAACATGAAATCTGTTTTGGGGAGGAGTAAACTGTCAGCTTAACAGAAGAAAAAATAACTCTCAGTGCTAGGTGTTGGCCCAAAGGGATTTTACAGCATTTAAAAGTTTTTTCCTGGAATTAAAATTAAATACTGAATTAAGAACCAGCAAGAGGGGAGGACTTTCCATGTTAGACATGGACAGTTTTAGTCTCAAAATCATCCAGTCAGTTTAATTCAGGTATGTTTGTTAAATGTGTTGAGACCCCTCCGAGGAAATGCAAAGTGTAATTGTTGCACCAGAAGTTTACCTGGCTAACACAAGTGGCACTTCTTGGATGTACTACTCTTTGGATCCATGCATATGATACGAAGGTATAGACAGAGATAGTCAGTGACTTCAGTGGAGCTGTAACAGTTTACAGCAGCTGAGGATCTCTCCCATTAAGTCAAGTTTTCGAGGACTAAGCTAAGCATGAAGTTCTAGAGATTACAGTCTGGGCACATCTAGTTCCATGAGAAGATACAAAACTGGGCAAAGGCCCAGAATTATTGGGGGCTTCAATGGAAATGGAAACCTAAGTGGCAGCATTTCTCAGAGCTGACGCGCGCGTGCACACAGAGTAGCTAGTTTCTAATCCTTTGGACGGTAGCTGCGATTTACGATTGACCCATGGCTGGCCTGTCGCAGCAAGCCTTGATTACACATCATAGCTGAGAAAAATAAATGAGAGTAACCCTGGCAGCCTCCTGCTGGGTGAGAATTGATGCCATTCCTTTATTGTGCTGCTGTCTGTAACCCGTCAGTGGAGATGAAACATTGCCTGGGAGGCAGTTTGGAACTGTGATAATGTCTCCCACAAGAGGATGTCTGAGGTACAGTGAAGCTACGTCCATGCTAGTCTTTTTTGCCAGCTAAGGTTTCCTATTGGTCTATGTATGGTCCTCAGCCCTGTAGTGGCTGGGTGCCTCTGAAATGTCAGTGATATTCCCCTCCACATTTTACAGATGGGAAACTGAGGCACAGAACGATGAAGTAGTTTACCCAAGATATACAATCAAGTTGTGACAGAGCCTAGAATTTAACTCAGTGGTTGGAGCCCTAATGTAGACAGTTCTCTAGGCAGCCATTGGCATGTTACTCCCATGTTGTCAAACCCTGCTCAAAGCATTTCTAGGCTTGTCTGTGTCTAAATTGCAGACAGTGCTTTGTCTGTGCTAATGCTCCCACCCAGGTGTCGGCACTTGTGTTGGCAATAAGGAAAATGTGAGGCAAAAAAAGTCTTAATGGAGACAAGACTCAAAAAAGGAGAGGGAAGGAGACTGGGTAACACTTTCAAAAATCCCGTTGACTTTCAGTGTCATTGAAATTCATTGTGGGTGGCAGAAAGATGTTGGAATAGTGAAAACACTTGATTTTCAATGGAACCTAGGTGATTTGGCATATGAAATGTAGGCTCCTAAGCCACTGTGGTGCTTTTGAGAAGGTTAGCAAGGGAAGGAGGCAAGGAGGTTCTCTTGCCTGTAGGGTCACATGAGGAGTTTAAAGGCCTTGCTGTGCTCAAACACCATTCTCACAGGTGTACCTGTCTGTGTCAGAGAGGTGTTTTGCTCTTTGCAACAACTGGTTTACATGCCCTGCATCTCCAGGGCTGGCATTCTGCTGCTGGACACTTCTTTTTGACTTAGATAGTGTATCATCTTAGCTGCCAGCCTTGCCTTCTTTTCCCAACCACTGCAAGCCATTAGGGACAGATTCTGCATGCCTGTGTCTCCCCCTTATTTCACTGGGAGCCGTATGCATTAAAGGGCAGAACGTAACCCGCTGGGTGACATGAAAAACACCCAGAAATACAGCTGTGTAATGACAGGTTTCAGAGTAACAGCCGTGTTAGTCTGTATTCGCAAAAAGAAAAGGAGTACTTGTAGCACCTTAGAGACTAACCAATTTATTTGAGCATGAGCTTTCGTGAGCTACAGCTCACTTCATCAGATGTATACTGTGTAATGTTTCCTTAAGCAGAAATCACACTTTGGGAGACTTTTTGTGTGTGGGTCGTCCCTCCCTACACACACACACAATGTAATAAGTTTTCTGCCAGTGTCTTAATATGTATATATGTAATGGTTGTAGCAATGCCAAGAAACATTGCTGTCTACTTAGGCAGATTATAGAAGTATCTTGTGTGAACAGCAGTATTTAGCACTTATCCCTGTTCAACGGTAATATGAATCCTTAAAACTAAAACCACTTGTAGTTTAAGAAAGTGAACATGATAAACCAGTTTGGAGTTTGGTTTTTGTCTTTTGTTTTTGTTGGGGGGTGGGATACAATCCCCTTCACTTAGAGGCAGACTCTTCCAGTGCTTTCTGCTAACATTACTTTACCTTGGCTCACTGCTTTCACAGTTCCAACACCTTCCTGCCACCCACAGTTCTTGGCTGCCATTCTGTTGAAGTTATATGGATGCATTTGTAGAGTCTGAGGGCCAGATTCTGATCCTAGTCTGGAATAACTCCACTGGTTGATTGCAGTGGAGTTACTCCAGATTTACGCTGGTGTTACCAAGAGCAGAACCTGTCTGTAAACAAAGTCTTAAATGCAACCACTCTGTCCGAATGTATGAGAATCATTTGACTGGAAAGTATTTCAGTATAATTCATCGTAACTACAGCAGGGAGCAATTTAGTTACCACTCCACATATGCTAAAGCTTCTTAGAAAGCAGCTGCTCCACCTCATGTTACGTTCTACAGAAATAAGTCTATTTGTTTTGTGTCTTTCACTTCTCAGGTGCTCCTTATTGGACCCGTTCAGAAAGGATGGAGAAGAAGCTGCTCGCAGTGCCAGCAGCAAATACCGTTCGCTTCCGTTGCCCTGCAGCAGGCAACCCCACCCCATCTATATACTGGCTGAAAAATGGCAAAGAATTCAAGGGAGAACATCGAATTGGGGGCATCAAAGTAAGGCATTGTGGGTCTAATCTTGACCGTGCTGTGTTCATTAGTCTCTGGACCTATTATTGATGGATCAATCGGAGCCAGAGTTCACTGAGCAATCCTGACAGGGCAAGTGAGCGTGAGATCGCTGGCTTTACGTAGTAAATATTTCCATGACCATTAGGGCTCGTGACATTTTTCTGCTCAAGATGTTTTTTCTAAAATACGTACAAATTGCGTTTCCCTCAGTACTGCCCGTAATCCTGGCAACTTTATCGTAAGTGAGAGAGAAGGATATCGGTGTATATCATCATGAACCACAGTGACTGTGCCAGAATGGGGATATTTTTGATATTCATACTAATTGTTCAAATAATTGTTAAAACTAGCTGCTGCCCATTTTGGTGGAATGCCAACTCTGAGCATTTGCTTGTGTTGCTAGTCTTTTTAAAAGTAACCTAATAAAAATGGATCAGGTGTATTGCTGTGCTAGCTGCAAGAGCTAGAATCAACAAGGTACAAAGAGGTTTTTATCCAAGTTACAAAAGTGCAAACCCAGAGTGATACCACTGAAATCAGTGAAGTGACTCCTGACTTACACCTGTGTAACAGAGATCAGAATCTGGTCTAAGCTTTTAAGCATACCTCTCTCTGTCATCATTCAGACATGTACCACGAGCCCTGCAGAAATACTAGGACTCTGTTCTGTTTGGTGGTCATTAACATTCTTGTGATGTAAATGACTGACCTGTGGTGAAATGATGGAAGCCCCTTTGCCTTGGGTAATACCAAAGAGGGACAGGTTGGCAGTGTGATTTCGAAGGTATTGCGGCCATGGTGTCTATGAACAGAGCCCACAGACACCAAAAACCAGTAAATGAATGCCTAACCAGGCGACTTATCTGACCAGCATTTTCCGTGTCACCTTGCAATTGTACATCAAAATAAGGTAGTAACGTAGCAGGAAAATCAGTTGCTCTTGATTTCCAAACCCCCCCCCCCCCCAAGTAGTATACCAAATGTCTTCCCATTTACCATTTTGGGGAACAGAATAGCTGGTGGGGTTATAAACACAGCAGAGTCACAAGAAAGAAAAATCTCCCTTTTTCCAGACTGTTTTCGTCCTTCTTCGCTCAGGCTGCTCTCCTGGAAGAGCTGAATATGATTTTCACTTAAACCTTTGAAGCTTCCTAATCAGCACATTGTGGTTTGTTGACAAGGTTGAGGGCACAGAGGCAGTTCTAGATCTGTGCCACAAGTACTCCTGTTCTTTTGAGAATCAAGGAGGTAACTCCTCTTTGCAGCTGATCGGATGACCGATAACATTTCCAAGTCACCCAGTGCAGCGCACACATTTTGTACTAATTACATGCTGTGCAGATCATCATGAACTGCTTTCAGGCTTGCGTGTGCAGTTTTAACTGCTTTATGCAAAAATGTGCGATGACAGCTGCACTAAATTATGCTCGCAGAATTAAACCTAAAGTTAAAAGTAATTCCACTTCCCACTTTTCTGTGGGTTGAATCTACCCTTGAGTTCAGATAGAGAATTTTCATCCTCTGCATCACAGTACCATCTCTTGCATCATAGCACTTTATTTTCTCTAGAGGCACCTTCCAGCAATAAGGAAATGTTTAAAAAGCTATCAGAGGCATTGTGGGGCCTGCTACAGCCCTATTGGTTTAATCCCTCTGTCTGTCTAGACACAGATCTCTCTTCATCTCTAGATACAGAGACATCACTCTGTTTCTCTCTTTCTTGACCCCTACCCTCGTAGAGCTTAGATAGATACCCTCGTCTGCTGTAGATATGCCAATTTATATCAGGTGAGGCTCTGCGCCAGAAAGAAAGTAAAAAATAAATTAGTTCAGTGTATCATTTATTGAAGATTAAACTCTCCAGGTACAATTGAGTTTCTATCCCAGGATTTAGGCCCAATAAAAGTGAATGGCCAGATCCACAGCTGGTGGAGCTTGGACAGTTTACACCAGCTGTGGATTAACCTGCAAAGCCTAGAATCACAAACTAACATTTCCTCTTTCTCTTTTTCTCCAGAGTTCAGAATAGTTTAAACTCTGCTGTTGGGAAATCTGTGGCCAGCAGAAGAAAGCTGGAACTTGCAACATGCAAGTTCGGACTTTTTTTTTTTAATATCCCATCCGAACATCTAATTTTTGCCTCTGTTAAATGGCATTTAGATACCACCTAATGTGCATCAAAACTCAAAAGGGGGAGAAGAGAAGACTTCCAAACATGGATGAAATAAATTATATACAGTTCATCCTTAAATGGCAGAGGCGTGAAATTCATATGACTTACCACATGAAATTTCCCAAAGAGAATTAATAGTTAAATCCTTGCTGGAATCTATAATATTATAAGCCTGTGTGTGTTAAATGACCCTAGAAGGGAATGGTGGGTGGGGGCATGCTGGTGTGGGGGAGATTGAGGATTATCCCTTCCCCAGACCATTGCACCGGCTTGCATACCAGTCTAGCAAACATGGGCTGAGTTTTTAAGTGTGTCTGCAAATGTTTGTCTCACAAGGAGCCAAAAATGACAACACCAAATAAACCAGAGGGATTTCCAGTATCTCACTGATTTGATTAAAGTCTGCAATGAGTTACTTCATGTTTCTAATGGTTTATCAAGTACAGTGACTGTGCAAAATTGGGAACATCCTTCTTGTGATCCCTTGGGTCTGGACTCAGCTTTCGACTAAAACTTTTCCTTAGTTGTTTTTAAAAAACCTTTCCAGACCGGAACACAGCTCTGAGCCACAGTTTGAATCTGTATTTAGACCCCGTTTCCCCAGAACTCAAGTCCCATACAATGAGGTGATGGACACCTTATGTCTAGAATAGGCAAGACACATGGCTGGATGTTTGGAGTGTTTGGATCTAGGTTCATGACACAGCTTTGCCACGTGCTTCGTATCAGGAGCCAAGCTTTACCAGAGTTCAGATCCTAGATACTAACATGATGGGTGCTTTACAAATGCCTAGGAGAGCAGGATAAAGAGGGGTGTGCCGCTGCAAGGCTATGATACAAGCCACTATAGAGATAGGTCATTAACAGGTTTAGACTGAGAAAAAAACCCTTCCTCCCCTCCAAAGTTCTGGCATAAAGTCTGGTACAGTTTCACATGTAAATTACATGACAGACTGCCCAGTGGAATCTCCAGGAAGAGTATCAGGAAGAGATGGGCCAGTAAAGAGATGCTCTAATCACGGTGAAATTTTGGTCCAGATTAAGCCCTCAGATGCACGAATGTAGTCCTGCAAGAGCCCATTGGATATCAGGGGGCAGAACTGGACCCATAATCCTTAGCAGCCAAAACCTTTCTGCAGTCAAAACCTTTGTCTTTGTTACATATACATTTAAATGTAGTGACATGCTTTGATGTCAACACTTTAGAAACGAGGTTAGGAAAGTGGGCCAGTCAACACTGTTCCTTGTGCAGATGCTGAGATACAAAAGGTTGGGGGAAAGTATAGCTTTATGGCAAGAGCGTGATTTCCTCCATTAAAACCTTACACCCAATGCCCAGTACAGCTTTTGACAGTTTAATTGTGCTCTGATCCCTTTAAAACAAGGCATGGTGATCCAGAAAACAACTAGTGAAAGACAATTACAGCAGCTCCATTTGAATTCACCTGCTGTAGCTAAAAGTGCTGACAGTTGACTACACTAATTTTCTGCATCAGCCCTTGGTCTTCTGTTGTGTGCAGAACTGGCATCACTGATGTCAGTTGGTTCTGCTCCAAAACGTGTTGTTAAAATACTGTTGATAGCTGTTTGGGGGCAGGTGGCTTCTAATTCATGTCTAGAGGCTTGGGAAGGTTAACGGACTCTGCTCGTGTGTGTGTGAATCACTTTGAGTCTTGACGACTCACAGTTGCTTTCTACATCAGTTCAAGATTTTCAGTGCTACCCACATATGTGATCTCACTTAACTAACTGAGAGTTGTCTAGTGAGTTATGCAAGGATGACAGCATTCATTGTCAACCCTGCAACTGATGGGCCCCTGGGACCTTGGCCAAGTCACTTAAAGGGGACACCATTGGTCTGAAATCCAATCAATTAAAAAAAAGATAGTTTCATGTCCTACACTTGAGCCAGTGTCACCCTGACAGTTTTGGGCTTTACACTCATGGTTTTCGTATGGGTTTTTAATGTGTGTCTCTCACTTGTTACCCAACGGAAGACATACCCAATGAGAAAGGGAAACAGATAACGATATAAAGGAAATAGTGAGGCTGGTTGTACATAAAGTGCTGCCTAATACCCAGAGTAAACAAACTGTAAAAAATATAATTTTTTTTTCTCCCTGGTCTCTTTCAGTTCTACTGATCAGTGGGTGGGTGTTACTGGTAACACAAGTAGGTTAAAGATTTGCCAAAAAAAAACCCCAAAGGTGTAGTTCTTTAAGCTAATGGAGTCCATTTAACTTCTCTGGCCCTCAGTTGACTGGAGTATGTGATGCTAACTTATTTAATGTCTTGGAAGCACTTTGAGGTCCTCTGATGAAAGGCACAAGATAGAAGTGCAGCTAGCAATTATTTGTTTTACCTTAGCGCCTATGAGCTCTAGTTGAAGACCCGGCCCTCGTTGTGCTGGGTGCTGTACAAACATAGAACAAAAAGATAGTCCATGCCCCAATGGGCTTACAGCCCATTATTTGTATTATGGGAACACTTACAGCCCCAGGCAGAATCAGAGCCTGTTATACAGCCCACTGTTCAGTTGATTCACTGGGCTTGATTCTCACATAAGGACCACTTTACACCAGGCAGGCAGTGTAAATTGTCCTTAAGGTGGTCATAATTTACATTTACAGACGTGCTGTAGCCCCGTCACGCTGGCAGAGTGGGGGTGAAAGAGGCGTGGGAATAAACAAGAATGAGGCCCATTGTATTTTGCTATTTGTTTGTTGATTATAATGGTCCAGTGAGATATTAGCTGGTGATGTCTTATGCTTGGCTGGGGTTTTTTTCCTCCCTCTAGTTACGGCATCAGCAGTGGAGCCTAGTGATGGAGAGCGTGGTTCCATCAGACCGAGGGAACTACACGTGCGTTGTAGAGAACAAATATGGCAGCATTAGGCACACTTACCAGCTAGATGTATTAGGTAAGATTTCTCTACTTCCTCTTAACTTCTGATATGCAGTCGTCATCAAGCAGCTGCTTGATGGCTTCTGTGCAACGTTGATTTTGGGCTTAATCATATACCCTGTCCCCTGAAGTGACTGATGCAGGTCCATGACCACAAACTCAGCTGGCACTCATGCTCAGCGAACGTTCAAGGAGCGAATGCACTGTCCTGGACGTGATGCTTCCTGCTCAGGACTGAGGCATGTTGACTGGGGCAGTGTCGGGGAAGCCTATGCTGCAGCTCCCCAGGCGTACCCCCTTTCTGTGGGTGAGCAAAGAGCTGTGTTCTCTGGGATTGCTCATCCAGTGCCTTTCATGAGCCCTAGTCCAAGCTCCTGTGCAGACACTGGTAGTGGTGCTGAAAGCCGCAGACATGTTCAGTGGGGAGAGGTGTTAAAAACAGGTTCCCCTTTTTCATTTCAGAAAGGTCACCTCACCGGCCTATCCTCCAGGCAGGACTGCCTGCCAACCAGACTGTGGTGGTAGGGAGCGATGTCGAATTCCACTGCAAGGTGTACAGTGATGCCCAGCCTCACATCCAGTGGCTGAAACACGTGGAAGTCAACGGCAGTAAATATGGATCCAACGGAACTCCCTATGTCACGGTGCTAAAGGTTGGTAGACGCCGTTTGCTTTCTCATACAAGGGAGGATGAACGCCTCCTCTGTGTTGGTCTCGGTATCTCAGTGATGCCATCTGAACTGCTTAGATATTTCAAGGATTTCCAGAAATGTTACCTTCCAGAAATGGATCCCTGTTTTGTCCCATGCTAATACAGTATTGCTAGAAAGTTATGGATCCTCATGTTAATCCATAGGGGTGTGCTCTGTACTTCCATGGCAGTGAATGTGAAGACTCCCCAGTTAGCCAAGGGATAGAGGTGCCTGTTCAAAACAACCAGTCACAAAGCTTGAAGGCATAAAATTAAGGAGACCTTCTGAAAATGTACATCCATAGGGTAAAATCCTGACTCTATTGAAGTCAGTGGGGATTTTGCCATTGACTTCAGCGGGGGCAAGATTTCAGCCATAATGGGTGAAGTAGATGAGATGGTTTTTATGTTCAGCTCTATTAATTTGCTGTATTACTAATACAGGTAAGGAATCTTCCTTTTGTGTTTAAAAATGTGATGCCAAATCCAGTCTTCAGTGACCTCTGTGCAGAAATCAAAGTTTGGCCCATGTTTTATACCTTGACAGTTTCACTTTTAATTAAATCTGTGCATTTAAAAAAAAAAGAGAGAGAGAGAGAAAAAGAGAAGTAAAAAACAGTTGTGTTCCAAGCCTTGCTCTGTCAGGAACTCCATGTTCTGCCTTTTTAGGATCATGTTTTTTCAGCTAGATGAGGCTTTGGTACCTATGTTGATGAGAGACAACCAATGATATCTAGTGTCATGTTAGATTAATTACAGCTAAGTATTGCCTCTGACTGTGACTGCCCTATCACAGTCAGAGTTGCAATGATTACTAGCTACTGTGCTTCATTGGTGAAATTTATAGCTGGTGGTGTGGGGGAGAGGAGAGACACAGAGCTCAGAGCTGAGGACTGGGGTGAATACAGCACTGTGCAGGTGACATCATTATTTGACAATTTGTTAAACCACCCACAAGTGTATAGATGAGGGGGCAAATAAATGCCGTTAAGGGTAGCATTTTCAAAAGTGACTTGTAGGCTGATAGGAACCCAACTTTCATTAAAACTCAATGGGACTTGTGCTCCTAAACTCCTGTGTCACTTGTGAACATGATCTTAGGCTCCCTAGTTTATTGAGTGGATCTGAAAATTTTGCCCTAAATGTTTAGAACCAGGAAAGATACAAGTTAGAGGGGTTGGTTTTCCTTTCCCTTGTTCTTCTCAAAAATCAATCTCTGCCTGTAGCTGTACAGCGCTTACATTGAGAGTTCAATCCAAAGATTAGGTTTTCTCATTCGTGGTGAGACAGTAAGCTTTATTTAGATATTAATAAACAAACTCGAAACTGGAATTCTAAAACACAACAAAGCCCCCCCCCAGCAGCAGCAACAGTTCAACGCCACAGGTCCTAGGGGGGAAAGTATTGTTTAAATCACATCATCTGTGCGTTCCAAGTTTCCCTTATATAATTGTTCCAGTGTTTATAGGGGAAGGGATAATGAGAGTAATCTGGGCAGATAGGATATCTTTTTTTTTTTTTTCCTTTTTTCTTTTTAAGCTATCTTTAAGTGGCACACAAAGCCAGAACATTTGGCTGTAAAAGTCCCTTTTTACAGTAAAATATCACAAGTATGTCATTTAAAGTAATGTCCCCTCCCATTTTTTTCTGGAAGAAGGATAGGAAAGTGTCTTGAACACTTTGAGCCCAAACTGAAACTGTCAGAACTTACCTGATTATGTACACTAGCCTGGATAAATACCGTGGGTAAGGAAATGGGCGTGAGAGTCATGACACTTGTGCGGACTGTGTTGTAATGAATGATATGCTGTCAGGTGAAATTTGACCTAAAATGGAGGAAAAACCCCATGTTTACACACATGTGTGCATACACATACACCCCAATTTTAACATATAACCATTCCACAGTGTTTGCACCCTAAATAACACCACATGGTGCCATGCCTGAGAACAAGGATGTGACCATGAGCCTGATTCTCTTCTCACTCCTCATACTAGCGACATTAAAGCAGTTACTCCTCATCCAAGCCCAGATTCAGGAAAGCATCCCTAGTTGGCAAAGCACTTAAGTCCCATTGAAGCCTAAAGCTAAGCATGTGCTAAGTGCTCTGCTGAATAGGAATGAATTTGAGCATGTGCTTAAGTTATTTCTTGAATGGGGCCTTCCAGTGTTCTGAGAGAATACGGCCCAGCGACAGCAAACAAAACTAAAACCAACCGGTCCATTTTCCTGGATTGAGCAAATGCAAAAAGAAAACCGTGTAAACCATAAAAAGTGTATTACTTTTAAAACTCTTCGCAGTTTACTGAGGTGCTATATGTAAGTACATTTAAAATTCATAGGACTCACTGGAGTTAGTCCAGATTTGCAGTTGTATCTGAGAATAGAACTTGGCCCTTGATTGTCAACCCGATGATGTCCCTTTTACATAGCAGATCCAGCATATTGTCAGTTTCAAGGCACACTTTTTTCCTACATGTGAAGTTAAAGAATGATCAGGCTGTATGTACAGTACTGTAACTCAGCCAGTTACATGATAATGGAAGCCAGAGACCCTGGAAATCATTACCCAGATTGAACTCACACATTGGAAGAAACGGTTGGAGACTGTTCTTCAGTATTTGGCACCACGAGTTGATAAAGCTTGTTGTTTTTCTGGCTGTGCATAAAGATTTGCTTAAAATATGCATGTATTAATTTCCCAGTGATTTCACAGCAAAGTACCAAGCGCTGTGTCACGTGCCACTTGGTATAGTCCCCTATGTGGTCCTTACAGAACAAACTGCTGCTACCTCTGGAAGTTCACAAAGTTGTGCAAACAGCAGATTGTGTCACAAACCCAGGCTCCTACTCTGCTGTGGCAAAGAATTATACATATAAATAGTGTTTAAAAATTAAACACTGAGCAGCAGAGGTGTTAGATTATTAGAACTGCCAAATGCCTTCTCCTCCTTGGACAGAGTGAGCTATGCCTTCTAAAGGTGTGAGCACAGGCAGGCGTTTGGAAACAGAAGTTTGATTTTATTTTTATTTAATGGAAGCAGCACACCTATCCTTGCTACCTCTGATTAATCGTGACTGCATCTGGTTGTGTTCACGCTGGTTTATGGCATCGGGGTTCAGAGTGTTTCCATTTCAGGACGCATCATTGTGCTCAAATACTGGGCTTTGGTTTGGTTTTGTCAGTCTCGTCTTTGTATGGGTTATTTTTAAAATGCTAAAGATAAGGCAAAGTGCTAATATCTTGGAGCTGAATTGCCCCTTCCCTTTGGAGCGTCCCCCACATTATTCTGTTACGGAGCAGGGTTTGTTCTGCTCCTGTGGGAGGAGACAGTGGCTCCAATCTCAGTCCCTAGCAGTGCGGCTCTGCTGGAGTCATGCTACTAAGATCTCCCATGGCCATGGTTGCCTTAAAAGGGATCCTGGCTATAAGTCTCTCCAGCGCAATCTCCACCAGGTTGGAGGGATGTGATGCACTTCCATGAGGCTGCCCAGTCTCCTGATTCCAGGCAAATCCCTAGTCCAGCAGAGGGGCTTCTGCGGAGTCCAGAATATGGGTTGGATGGCACACTGAGGCCCCTTTCGTGCAGGAGGGAAGGAAGAGCTGCATGTCAGGATTTCCCTCTGCATGTGGCTCTGGGGGAGCACAGTCTGTCCTGATCATTAAATTTAATGCTACACTTTAATCCGTTCTGAAATTGCTTAACAAAACCAAACTGCCATCTGGATCAGTTACCACAAAGCTGGGCCTAATCTGCGAACAAAAAGAATTCTGTAGAACACAGGAGGAATTAGCAGGATGCGCTGAGGAATGGTATCCATGTGCCAGTTAGGGGGACTGAAAACTCCTCATTCCAGTCTCCAGCAAGGGATGGTGTTAGCCCAGGATAAACTGTACCCTCGCGATCAATACACAGAGAATTTAATTATAAATAATGAAGCAGCAGCAAGGAAACTTGCTTGCTCGTCAATTTAAAGATGGATTCAAACAAACTTTGCGAAGTGTGAATATCAGCAATGAGATGGGGCCTGAAACTGCAAAGTCCACATCAGAATTTGAACCCTAGGCTCCTCTGGAATGAGCTTAAGTTCCTAATTATGGAGCTGATCCTGCAGTCCTTTTTGCGAGTCAGATCTGCGGAATCAGACCCGAACGTTGTGGCTGTAGACTGGGTCAGGCAGGGGAATAACACAGCGCTATCACTTCATTTTATCTTCCAGAATTGAAAGGGGTATTTTTCTAGCCTTTCAGGCATGTGTTGAGACCATCCAACAGGGTTGCACAGTTTCAGACAAAAGAAAAGCAAGTGTTTAGAAACAAACCTATGTGCCATTGCAGCAGCTTGGAAGACAAGAAATAAAACCCCGTTTAATGGTCTGAAGTTGGATTGATTTATATGCACTACTTTATTTAGTAAAGAAGAGTCTCCTATGTGAAGTGGAAAAAGTTACAGCTAATTTCTGAAAGGCAAAGTCAGCAGTCGGCTTCAGACTGCCACTGCTTATATTTTGTCTCCAGATTCTATTTTGGAATCCTGATAATTGAAACAGTATTTGCCGAGTTGGGTTGCAAACACAAATCTCCATGTAAGCCCTTTTCCTGCTGCTTCAGTCTACAGCGTTATTAAGAAACCATAGAATCTTTGGCTTCCTGGCTGCCATTAGATGCAGGACAGGGTAATTATCTTTTTAAAAGAAAGATTATGTTTGCCTTTTAATTGGAGAAGCACCAGTAAAAGGAGAGGAGTGAACTTGTGCGCTGTTAGTGGGCCACATCCAGGTCACTTTGCTCACTCAAGTCTTCAGTAGTTCTCCTCACGTGAGTAAAGTGAGCAGAAATTAAAGTATAAAATGGTCATGCTCAATCAGTCCTAAGCTAACATAGCTTCGATGGAGGTATTGTTTGGTTTACTGAAGTTCAGGTTTCTGTCTGTTCCTGCAGTCTTGGATCAGTAAAAACGCTGAAGCCGATGCTAACCTAAATCTGTTCAATGTGACAGAACAAGATGAAGGAGAATATCTGTGTAGAGCCAACAATTTCGTAGGCATAGCCGAAAAACCATTTTGGCTCCACATTCGCAAACCAAAACCAGGTAAACTATAGACTCTGTCCCAAGGCCCTAGCAACTGCAAGAATGAGCTTTAACATTTTAAGACGCTAGTGATTAAAATGACTATTCATTTTGTATTAAACCCTGTCAACTGATGCTGAATGGCTTTACCTTATTTCCTTGCTAATTATTTTGAAAGAATTAAATGCCTGTACATCAATTGCAATGGAAAAATTCCCACAATAAAATGACTGTCAAATTTTGCTGTCAGCTTTTTCTGCTCGTATTCCTTTCTCTTCCTAACAGCTGAGTGCTGATAACATGATTGCATGCTAATGACCTTTGATGTTCGAAGCTCTAAGAAATCAAATTCACTTGAAGATTTTTGCCCATATTAGTATAGTCAGTAACCAGACTTTTTCCTTTCCAGTAGTTATTCACAATTAACATCGGTATTAGATCATGCAGGCAAACACATAAGTAGAGAACAGCAGAGTCCAGTCAGTCTCTGGTTTAACTCTGTTGGTTTACACTCCAGAAGAATTTTGCCTGAGTCTTGAAAATTTTCAACTAATTATAAAGTGAGAGGCAAGTCAGCCAGTCTATCTCTCTGATAATGTAGGAATGTTCCCTAAAGGACGCTTTCTAATTATGATCCAGAATTACATTTTCACATCAAGAGCTGTATTATTAATAGATAAGCTTTTGGTGTTGAAATTGACATTAAAAATGTCCTCCTGATTGAATATTTTTCTTTATTAAGTCACCATTTATCTGGTCAACACTTTACTCTTTCCTCTCTACATCTCTTCTTTCTCTTTTTCTTACAAGCTCTGCTTTTTCCCCCCCCACACTCACCCTGCTAACCAACAGTCAGTCCTATTGTGGGGGCAGTTTTTCCTTTTGATGCTTTTGCTTGCATGCTTCATTAGTGGGACAGAGTAAGAGCCTGGTGAAGGGAACCTTTTGCTTTTACTACAGGTTGCAAACGGGAATGAATAAATAAATGTGGAAGACGGGCCACTGAAAACAAACAAAAAAAATCTTCATCTGCTTTTGAAATTTGCCTGTAAATCCGTGTGGTGTCCTCAAACTTGCTGGGAATGTGGCTTATCCTCTGTTTTTCCTCTTTCTATATATGTGTATTTTTTTTCCTCTGTAGACGGCAGGTGTTAACACAACGGATAAGGAGCTAGAAATTCTGTACTTGCGAAATGTTACTTTTGAGGATGCAGGGGAATATACTTGTCTCGCTGGGAATTCTATTGGGTTTTCACATCATTCTGCTTGGCTGACGGTTCTACCAGGTATTTCCTTCTGCGCTGTCCCCTTTCTTTCCTCTTGGTGATGCTTCAGTGTTCAATTTAGAAATGCCAAGTTTCTGCAAACTCTGCATTACATGGAGCAGTGAGTTTTGATCTTTAGTCGACTTCTCTGCAGAAAGAACTCTCCTCTCCAGTTTGCTGTGCAGATCTCTAATCCAAACTGTGGTTGCATGTTAAATACTGACATGTTTCATGTGTTATCTGAGGCTCACAAAGCACTTTACAGATGATAATGATCTGAACATCTCAAGATCCCTTTGATTTAGGCATGGAGTATTATTCATACTTCAAGATAATTTCTCAGCCTGCTCATCTATAAATGGAAGATCACCGTGAGAGTCACTTGTAGAGATGGAGGTACAGAACCCAGGAGTCCTGGCTCCCAGGCACTGCTGGGCTGCTTTTCAGAGATACTAATGCTCTGAGCACCAACTGAAGGGAATGGAAGCTATGTAGGCTCTGAAAATGGAGGCCGAGATGACCACATCTTGTGCTCATTCAATGTGCAAGAGTTACATTGGCATAGGACAAGTTCAGAACATGCACTAGAGAGATCTGCACTGCTGATGAGAGAGCCTGCACTATCCCACGCCCTGAAAGCTGGCCTTGTGTTAAAATGCATGAACGCCTCGTGTGTGGGCTGGGCTGCTTGGGGAAGGTGCAGTCCTTCCTCGGGCAGCATTCCCCCTGAAGCTGATGGGGGTTCTGCCCCAGAACAGCTGCAGAAGCAGACCCAAATTCAGCCTTTTCTTTTTATGTAATACTCATTTTAATAGTCCATTGAATGGGCAGCAAATTTTATTCTCTCAAATTCCCTGGTTATAAAACAAGTTTTGAGCCTCCCTACCACCACCACTGTTGGTTGGACGTGCCCCAGAACATTTTTCTGAACCAGAAACTTTGGCATTTCTAAACCCTGATGTTAACTGAATTGGTGATTTTTTTTCATGGTAATTGCCATTTTTAGGGGTCAGAGTATCTCCTCAAAGACGAGCCTTGAGGCAAGTGGGATCTGCTGGTTCTTCTCTCTGAAATGGCTGGTGTCTGATTCTGTTTCCGCTTCTGCCATCCCCTTGATTAAAAAACATTTCTATTGGTTTACGTTCGGAGGTTTATATTATTATAAGAATCTGCCTAGATCGTATCATCAAATCGTTGCATTGGTTTTAAAATGTATGAACTCGTAACATTAAAAAAGAGAGAGAAAGGGGAAAAGCCCAGCTAAAGTGGAACTTTATAGCGAACTCGGATGCAAGGAAGTTCCAGGTGTAGCAAACTGGAATGTGGGCTCCAGACTGCACCAACGATTAGAGAGATGCAGATTGTAGTCAGTCTGCGGTGACTAGGGTGACCAGACAGCAAGTGTGAAAAATCAGGACAAGGGGTGGGGAGTAATAGGCGCCTATCTAAGATAGAGATCCCAAAATCGGGACTGTCGCTATAAAATCGGGACATCTGGTCACCATAGCAGTGACCCTTCCACTTTCAGCAAAGGGAGAAAAGGGGATCAGAGACTTCAGAGCTATGAACCTTGGGGCTGTGATCAAACGCAGCAGAACCATCCCAACAGTATTTCATAGCATCTATACTCCTGGCCCTTTGGGTATAGGGCCTGATCCAGTGGGGTCCCTCAACTGCTTCTGACTTCACTGGGGGTTAGCAGAGCTCTGCTCCTGCCAGGGTCAGCCCCTGTACAAAGGTTCTCTGCTCATCTGGTAAGCTGGCTCACAGCCATGTAGCTTGCTGCACAGTGTATATGTAGATGATAGCCATGCCCTGTTTATGGGTAGAACCCCCGTTTTTTGCATTGCCACATTCCTTCAAGGACACAGCCACTGAGAGCCTGATCCAAAGTCCAATAAAGTCAGTGGAAAGACTCCCATTGAAATCAATAGGCTTTGGGGTGGAGCTTGAGTGGTTCCATATCCCCTTGGCCCATGAAGAAGTAGAGTTCCCCCATGAGTTTTCTTCACTACTGCGCCCACAAGTACAGCTGCCTGGCTGCTTTCAAGTCACGTGCACCCAGCTCAGCATTTAGCCCAGAGTGAAGTGATGGTGTGAAAGAAAATAGTGATTTCACTATAAGGCATTCCACTGCTGATTAAAGAACCATTGGGCATCCTCTTTCTGTTAGTATGATTTTGGTTTTGCTTTGACCCCTTGTAAATTCAGAAGTGCCTGGACTGAAGGGAGCAGATGGGGAATCAGTCTTGATTTGTGCTTTGCTTGAGGAGGGGTTGCAGAATTGAGCTCTGAGTGCATAATGCTAATTATGTTATAGCCATCAAAATGATTGGGCTCATGACTGTTCAATGGGCCTACGGGAAGTTCTGACCTTCTGGAATCCTGAGGTGGGATTTTTGCTAAAATAATTGGGATAATCTGTCCTTTTACTTGTCCAAACAAAATATGTACATTATGAATTATAATATATTAATGTATAATTAAGCCAAGTTTCCCAGTTATCCTCACCCAAGTATCACATTTTTAACCTCACTGTACTTTGGAGACAGGTGTGATTCAGGTGGGATAAACTGAAATCTTAGCTTGAGTTGTCATATTAATCCCTTGTCTGGGGCACATCTGTTGCCAGCATTGGGTTCAAAACCGATGAGTGAAATAGAGGAAGGGCCCAATCCTGCATTGTTTGCAAAAGCAAAACACCCATTGTAGGCATTCAGAGCTCTGGGTTTGGGGGGGGGCTCCTGGGTCAAGCCCAATGGGGTTACGCATATACAAAGATGTGTCCAACCTAGGCCTGATCCAACTCCCACTGAGTCAACGGGAGGATTCCCATTGGTGACAGTGAGCTTTTGCTCAGGTCCTACCTGAATTTCTCACACTGCATGTGTACATGTTGGCTGCTGTCGCCTGTCCTCGCTCCTCACTTCTGTCTCTTGTTACTCTACAGAGCTAGTGGAGATGGATGATTCTGGCTCCGTTTATGCTGGCATTCTCAGCTATGGGACTGGCTTTGTTCTCTTCATCCTGGTGGTTGTCGTCGTGATTATCTGTAGGATGAAAATGCCCAACAAAAAAGCCATGAACACCCCCACTGTACAGAAAGTCTCCAAATTTCCTCTCAAGAGACAGGTAACAGAAAGTAGATACAAGATTCCTATCCCCCCTATAGCCCCAGCCTACCTTTACATTTCATTTATATGTTAGGAACCTGACCCTGTGTTTCTTACTCAGGCAAAAATCCCGTTAATGTCAGCAGGGCCTTTGCCTGAATAAGGGTCAGGCCCCGTGTCTCAGTTTGTTTCACTTATTCGTTTATTTTTTTCAGTGAAAACGTAGTGTGTGCCAGTTAACTCTTTGTAGTTTGCAATTATTGTTTGTCAGAGGCCAGCAATTCCACAGAGACCTGTGCTTACCTAGTAAACAGACCTTTAAACCAGCCCTGCTGGCCACATGTAACATCATCCTGGGGAAAATTGACCTTCCAGAGAATAATCTACCATCCTGCTCCCCTAGCCAGCGTGAAGGGGAGGAGTGGGAGAAGAAGTGTATTCTTGGACGTGTTCCCACTGAAGTCGCTAGCAAAACTTCCACTGATTTCTGTGGGTCCAGGATTGGGCCTTCTTTCTGCAAGGGACAATGATGGCACTCTGTACAATAAAAATCCCATCCAGTCGTGCATCAGTGACTGGCACTGCAGAGCAGTAAACATAGGAATTAAAAAGGACTGCAAACCCTGCTGATTCAGCCTCTCTGGCTGCAAACTGTTGGCTTTTAAGGACTGGGAATGGAAAGCTGGGACTGACTACATGGATACAAACACACCCCATGTATATGGGCCAGAACTTCAGCTGGTATAAACTGATGTAGCTGGTGTAAATCAATGGAGTCCTGGGTTCAGTGAGGCCACTCTGGTTTACACCGGCTAAGGCTCTGGCTTTGCATGTCTAGATATATACACTCCTATAATGTGAGACTGATCCTTTTAATTTCTAGGTTACAATTTATTGTAAGTCTTCAATAAACAAAGATTAGTTCAAACTGATTTTCTTGGCTGGTTCCTTTTCAGGCACATCTGCAGGTATCTGACACAGAGGCAGTTGGCAATAACATTTTATTTGCTCTATTCAAGCAGGTGTCATTGGAGTCTAACTCTTCCATGAATTCCAATACCCCGCTGGTCAGAATCACCCGCCTCTCATCCAGCGATGGGCCAATGCTAGCGAATGTCTCGGAGCTCGAACTGCCTGCTGATCCCAAGTGGGAATTAACGAGATCTCGGTGAGTCAAACCCGCACGCTGAATATATGTGTCGCTCTTCTGTCTTCATTCCACTTCTCAGCACAATCACACATATTAATTCATTTGTTTGTGTCTGTCACTTCAGCCTGACTCTGGGGAAACCTCTGGGTGAAGGTTGTTTTGGTCAAGTGGTGATGGCAGAAGCGATTGGGATCGATAAGGACAAACCAAACAAGGCCATCACTGTAGCTGTCAAGATGTTAAAAGGTACAGAGAACAGCACCATGAAGGAATGGCAGGAGGTGGGGCTGTTAGAGAGGCATTTGCCCTTGGCATTTATCTTGGTTTGGGGTTTGTTTTTTATTTTAAAAATATGACTACATAAGAAGAGCAAACCTAAGGCCAAATTCTCCCTTTGGCTTCCATAACTGATGCTTGTTTCCACAGGTTCATGTTAGGGTGGGTCACAGGAAGTGATAAGTGTTACGTTAAGGATAGCTAAGTGGATACAGCATTGGGCTTGGCCACAGGAGACCTGGGTTCAGTTCCTAACTTAGCCCCAAATTTCCTGTATGACGTTGGACAAGTCACTTTATCTACCCTTTATCTGAGCACCCTGCCTTTAAAATAGGGATAATGCTTCCCTATCTCCCAGGGATATTGAGTATAAAATCCATTCAGGATTGTAAAGTGCTCATCTACTTGGGGGATGAGGGCCATATAAGCACTTCAGTAGATCTTCATATCAAATTGAACCCTGGCCAAGCTCCCTGAGGTTACATCTCAACAGTTTAAGAGGAGGCAAAACAATGAGGTTGGTTGGGCTCCTCCAGATTCTCCTCTTTTCCCTGCCTAAAGCACAGAATCTGCAGTAACTTGACTAGTTTTCCCTTCCATGCTGTGGAAAACATCTGGAGGGGAGTGGCATGGCTAAGCTAAAGCAAGGAGTGCTGAGGTTCTGCACCGTGTTAATACTAGCACCAGCTGAAACGTTTTTCTAATGAAAAATTTTTCCGTGAGAAAGTGGGGTTTGACAAAACCTCGTCAGTCAATTTTGATGAAACTTTTTTTGATGGGGAACATTTCAATATTGCCAAACTGAAACATTTTGATGTTTTGTGTTTTGGTTTCATTTTGGAAACTGAATTATTCGGGGGGCTTTTACCATATTTCCATTCTTTGTAACTGGTTTTTCTAACTGGAGAAAGTTGGAAACAGTAAAAGGTATGAAAATTGTTTTTCACCCATTTTATCACATCTTTTACCTGCCCCTGATTCTTTCCAGTACGAAAAAAAATGGGGGAAAGTTTGTATGTATGTATGTATGTATGTAAAAAGGAGGGATAGAGTGGAGGTGAAGCCCCAAAAATCCTAAAACAGAAATCGACAACCCAATTTTTTTTTCAGTTTCTAAACATCCAAACAAAACACACAATGTTTTATTTCCCTATCAACATTTTTCAGAACTTTTTGTTTGGCAACAAGTTTTGATGTTTCAAGTTTTCACGCCGATTTGGGACACTGGAATAAATTGCCTAGGGAGGTGGTGGAATCTCCATCGTTGGGGATTTTTAAGAGTAGGACAAACACCTGTCAGGGATGGTCTAGATAATACTTAGTCCTGCCCTGAGTGCAGGGGACTGGACTAGATGACCTCTCGAGGTCCCTTCCAGTTCTGTGATTCTATGATTAACATTTCCCACAGGATAAAAATTTCATTTCCTGACCAGCTTTCATAAATGCTCAGCTGGTCAGATGGCCAGCCTCCATTCACTGAGTGTATAACATATTGTATAGTACTAATGCACTCTAGTTATTCTTTTACTTTCTAGACTGTAAGAAATGCCTATTCCCTTCCTAACCGTTTCTTTCTCCGCCCCCACCCCGTCTTCTCCAGATGACGCTACTGACAAGGACCTTTCTGACCTGGTGTCCGAAATGGAAATGATGAAAATGATTGGGAAACACAAAAATATCATTAACCTCCTAGGCGCCTGCACACAGGATGGTATGTTTCGGAGAAAGCTCTATGCTACCTCGTACTTCATGATTTCAGTGGTAAACAGTCCCATTCTGCTCTGTGGTGCACATCGTACTAGCTCAGCCTTGTGTGCACACAGTTGCTCTTCCATACCTCTACTGCAGGTTCCTGGCCCAGCAAGCATCGGGGATTCCCCCCTGCAATGTAATATTGTGCTCCTGGAGCCTCTTATTTAGGTTGTGTCGAGGCCAGGAGGATTTTACCCTTTCCTCATGCATCTGAATTGGCCACAAGATTAATTGTGTGCACAGACATAACTAACTGTGCTTTGCTCAGTGAGAAGTTGGGTGGCTTTTTGATATTGGAGCAAATATATGGTGTTAGGAAGGTCTCTACTTGTTATCAATACTGGTTCTTATTTTGTTTTTCAAATGCTTTTCCTTAGTGTCCTTCTCCTTTTTTTTTTTTGGGGGGAAAAAAAATGGAGCTGGAAGCGGAGAGATTTGGTGGTTTGACTGTCATTTATTATTATTTACTCACTGAATGCCCAAAATATGCTGGGCAAGACTCGTGATTAGAGCTCTGGCTTTGAGTCCCAACTCTGTGGGTTTAGGCAAGTCACATAATACCATCTATGTCTAAGCCTCCCCAGCCATCAAACAGAAAGGATAATGCTCACCCACAGGGCAGTTAGGCGGGTGAGTTAATGTTTGTGAACGGCTCTGAAGAGATGTTTGTCAGAGGCCACTTGGCTAGGGAACCTGACTGGAAGTCAAGAGACCTGAGTGCTATTCCTGTCTAACTTTCTGAAGTACTTTGGTGGCCCTCAATACTATAGTATCCGAGCACCTCATAGTCTTTAATTCATTTATCCCCAGAACCTGTGTGGTAGGGAAGTTCACAGATGGGGAACTGAGGCACAGAGACAAAGTGACTCTCCCAGGGTCACACAGGAACTTTGTGGCAGAGCTGGGGCTTGAATGTGCATTTACTAGGCTAGTGTTCTAACCACTGGCCCATCCTTCCTGTTCAATGCTACATTTGCTGCTGATTTGTCATGTGACTTTGTGTAACGTCACCTGACCACCTCATTCCCTTTCAGTAAAATGAGGCTAGTGACACTCACTCCGTTTTGCAAGGCGCTTTGTAATTATAACAGCCAGCTTGTGACTGTTCTTTGTTGGCAGGCCCACTTTACGTTCTGGTAGAATATGCGTCAAAAGGGAACTTGCGGGAATATCTCAGGGCTCGTCGGCCACCCGGCATGGACTATTCATTCGACACCTGCAAGCTGCCAGAAGAGCAGTTAACATTTAAAGATTTAGTCTCGTGCGCCTACCAGGTGGCCCGTGGCATGGAGTATTTGGCATCTCAGAAAGTGAGTTGAGAGACTTGGAGTCTGTTGTTTATAAGATACGTAAATATACATGTCGTGCCATAGGTGTGCAAAGTGCATTTCTGGCAAGTAAATGACTGGGTTCTGCCTTTAAGAGTCTACAAGTACAGGAGTTATTTTTTCAGTAAGAAATGCATTGCTACTTGCAAAGCAGCTCTGTTTAGGGACCTAGAAGTCCATTTGTGTATTATCACATCATAGAATTATAGGATATCAGGGCTGGAAGGGACCTCAGGAGGTCATCTAGTCCAGCCCCCTGCTCAAAGGGACCAATCCTGCGGGACCAATCCCCAATTTTTGCCCCAGATCCCTAAATGGCCCCCTCAAGGATTGAACTCACAACACTGGGTTTAGCAGGCCAATGCTCAAACCACTGAGCTATCTCCCCCCCCCACCCCCCGTCCCATTTGTGAGCGACTTAGCTGGGTGCCACTTTGCTGTAATCAACAATCCACCAGTAAGTGTATGAACACTGTGGCAATACGTGGACACTGCAGAGTCCGTATGAAAGGCAGACCTCAGTTGCGTGTTTTCAGTGAGCAGATACAAAGGTCACACAACAGAAACATCTAAATACAGAGGTAATTGACTTTCAGATGTCCAATCCTCAGTCAGTCTCAGGCACTATCCACGGTCAGATTTAGAGCCATGCTGAGCTGTACACTGCATCTTGGTGGCGTCAGCATGACAGCAAAATTGAAAGTCACTTTGAGAGGTAATCTCATCTCAGACAATAGAATCAGGAGCCTCTGTGGCCCCTTTTCAGTAATGCTGAAAGTGCAGAGCATCAAGGCCGAGGCAGAGACACAGCCTGTGCCAAACGTTCGTTTGTTAGAAGAGCAGTATCTCTGTTAAGTTACCAGGTGATCATAGACTCCCTTGGAGTTGCCCAGCGAAGGATTTGGCCCATTCATAACAAGAGCTGACACTTAGAGCTATCCATGGGCTCCAAAAGAGCTTTACAAACATTGGACCTGACACTATTCTCACACTTGCGTCACTGGAGTTACTCCTGATTTACACTGATGTAAGCAGTTGGACAATCAGGCTCATTTTACAGATGGGGAAACTGGGCCATTAGTTTATACACAGTGAGTCAGTCGTACAGCAGGGAATCAAATCTTAGTGTCTTGATTCCCGTTGCCTTACTGTAAGTAAACCATAAGCCCACACTCTGCTCCCTGGTGGTGGCAGCTTGGTGTACAGCCCTGGGATCTCTCTGCTCTCCCGTGTAGGAGAAGGGGCCGGTCTCCAGTCCGAGTGTCCCGTCCTGAGAGAGCAGATGAAGAAGCCGTCTTGCCACTGGAGGCGAGTGTGTGTGTTAGATGTTGCTAAGAAGCAGTTTGTCTGAGACCGCATGTGGCAGCGATGACCTAAAGGGCGAAGAATTAAATGGTGCAGCTTTATTGGCTTTCAAGTAAATGAAACGGCACTTCATAAACCACGAATCGTAAGCAGCTTAACGAGCCCATATTTATCTCTGTGCTCACCTTTCGCAGTGCATTCATCGAGACTTGGCAGCCAGGAACGTGTTAGTCACTGAAGACAATGTGATGAAAATAGCCGATTTTGGCCTAGCCAGAGATGTTCACAACATCGACTATTACAAGAAAACAACCAATGTGAGTATACAGCTGCCAAGTGCATGGGAGTTCCCAGTGGTGGTGGAGTCAGCAGCACATGCTCATGGTCCACACCTTCTTTTTAAACAAATTACTGCATTGAGAAAAACAGTTTGGCCCTGATCCAGCAATTGGTAGCAGACAGGCAGGCCCCCTGCACCCACAAGGAGCCCCGTTGAGATCAGTGTAGTGCTGCCTAGACACTGCAGTCCACCCATGCACTGTCAGTTGCAGGATTTGGTGCCTTCGTGGCATTTTATTACAGTTATTTCTAGTAGTGATGGGATCCATTACGCATCATGAGCTTTGACAAAGTGAAACTCACTTTATACTGAAGGAGAAAACAAGCCACCTTGGTTGTTCCTATTCACTGCTCATATTCATAGCTTTCCAGTACCTCTCACTTCAAGGGACATAACTCATTCTAGTACTAAAGTTAGCTGCATTTCACACACATCCCTCGCTCTTATAGCTGAAAAGTATTTGCATCAGATACAAAGAATCTTAAGGCTGAGGCTCTAGAAGGAGTTATTTACACTACAGGAATTAATCTTGCAGCATTTTAAGTTTCCTTGGGAATCATTTTCATATAACCCTCGTTTTGGGTCTCTGTCACACATTGCATTCCGCCTTTGGGCCCCTGGCAGGGTGAGAGGGATAGTCCTGTTGAAATGACAGAAACACCCTATTTGATTTCAGCGGGACCATAGTGAAGCCATTGGGTGAATCCACTCTGTGCATTTCCCCCTATAGTTCAGACTAAGCAGCATTTTTCCATTGAGTGAAATGGTCTCTTCAAGCCAGCGAGGCCCATGTGTGTTGGTCCCACTCTATTTTGAAAAGGTCCAGCCCCACAGCTGCCTTTGTACACGATGGATGCTGTTTTTCATACAGAGATTTAGATGCCTCAATACATTAAACCTGCCTTGGCAGTGAAATGCAGCATGCAAGAGGGAGGGTGTTTATAACACACATAGTCAGTGAAGACCGGAGATCAAATGTTATAATCTGTTTACATGTGGCCACTACAGCCTGCACAGTGATCAGGGAAGCAGATGTGGTTGCTAATGAAAACGTTTCAAACTGGATTAGAATGGAAGATTCAGATGGTGCCGTTGTGGCTGAGTGAATATGCTGATGGAACATTCCCTTTGTCTTCTTAATTACAGGGTCGGCTGCCTGTGAAATGGATGGCTCCAGAAGCATTGTTTGACCGGGTCTACACTCACCAGAGTGATGTGTAAGCATTACCCACATTAAAAAAAAAATTGAAATAAAAGCAAAACAAAATACCGGAGGATCAGAAAGACAAATGTGCTGCTAAGCACAAATGGGACTCTGAACTCTGGGCTCAGTGCTGGTGAAGACTGATTGCAAAAAAACAAAGCTCTTCGCTCGACCATAAGCTTTGTAATTGACTCTGAAATACAGTTCTGTATGTGCGACATTGCTCTGCCCTCAGCTAGCAGCTTTCATCCAAAGATCTCCAAGCTCTTGAGCTAAGCCTCTTAGTACCTATATAAACATAGGCAAGTGTTTCATACTCCCTTTGTAGATGGGCAGACTGAATCGCAGAAAGGCTTGATCTTGCAGTCTTTGCTCAAGCAGAATTACCATTGACTTCGATCTGGACGCTCACACTTAGCTACAGTAGGAGGCTCAGGCCCTATATGACTTGCTCAGAGTTACTGGAGCTGGTCAGACAATAATTCATTAAATACATTATCTGATCAATTTTGCTATTTTGGGGTCAACTAATTTATTGTACAAAACCATGTTTACTTTAACCTAGCTAGTTTTAAAGGCTGTACACTGTAAGAAAACAGCATAACTGGAATGAAGAACAGAACAGGCTGTTAAACTGTTTCGGGTCATGGCTGAACTCAGGGCTATCCACTTTAATTTATATGAAAGCTGAAATTGCCCAGCTAAGCATGATGGCTATTTTATTTTTCAATAGTGGGCTCCTTGCACCAGTTTAGCAGAAAATCTGTGGAACTGCCAAATACGGCTGTTTCTCTGCTTAGCTGCAGACAAATTTGTATTCTCTCTGTCTGTCAATTTCACCTGCTGTAGCTTCAGTGATCTGAAATCATAGTTTCAGCACGTAGGTAATGCAGCAATGGACACGTCCGTTTACCTACATTAGAGAGAGCGCTAATCTCTCTTTTTCAAAATCTCTTTTGCCTCCTTAATTTTCTTTTTTTAAAAGAGGGCATTTAAATGTGGCACAGCTGCTGTGCTAGGGCATGTAACTTTAGACCTTCTGCTGATTTTTTGTAGGCAGTGTTTCTTCCAGTCTGGCCAGTGAAATAAGGGTTGTAACAAGCAAGTTTTGATATCAGCTTGCACAGTGGCCTGTGATTCCTAGCCTGCAATTCAGTGAAGCTGTGCATGAATAATTTGATTTGTTCCATTCAGTGGAGCTGGTGGAAGACCTAACAAAGAGCCAGGGGTAATAAATGGGCTGTCACCTATCTGATTAAATGCTCATTTCAGTTTCAGACATGGTGCCTGGGATTTCTTTGCTATTGAGTTGGATCAGCAGAGATCTCCAAGTAACTAGTAAAAATGGCCTAGGCAATTAGTCATGCTATTGATGGCTGTGTTAGCTATGCATGGCTGCACCGAAAGAAAGCAAAAAACAAACAAACTAAAAAACCTCATTGAATTTTAAACACCTTTCTTTGGCTCCCAGCTGGTCTTTTGGAGTGCTGCTTTGGGAGATCTTTACTTTGGGTGGGTCTCCCTATCCGGGAATTCCAGTCGAGGAACTCTTCAAACTCTTAAAAGAAGGCCATCGGATGGACAAGCCAGCAAACTGCACTCATGACCTGTAAGTGAGAACATGGGAAGGAGTAGCCTTACGGCTTCATTTCTAGAAACCTTGACTGATGCAGGAGTTTATTTTCCTTCTTAATTCAGTTTTTCCAGTCCCCTTTCCAGTGTGTGTATAAATATCGCTGCCCATTCCTTTGTCTGACCCCCACTTGCTACTATTGAGCTGGCCCTGCTGTGCGATTGTCCAGCTGGCTCCAGATAGACTTACCGTGCCTGATGCCTTTAGGCTCATTATGTCACTGACAGACAAAATATGCAGCTACACTTGCTATGCTTGGTCGATTCATGTCAACCCATGGCCAGCTCAGGTCTGTGGATTTGCCTAGTGAAACTCAAGCATAAGCAGACTAAGCGATTGCTTAGGGCCCTGAGCAATATGTGTTGGGGGGAGGATAGTCCTGCTTAGAGCCCCCAATGGGCTAGTACCGCGTCTGGTGACTTACCCTTTGAATACGGCTTTTCCTGCCTGATGTATTTGTCTGATTGCGGCACTACCCCAGAAACAAGGGTTTATATTTCATGTGACCCCTGTAATAAGGAACTTTGAGAGATTGCTCTTCAGAGCCTCTTTCCATTCAATATACAGTTGCCTATATAAAGAGGGCCAAATTCTGTCTTTTGGTAGAGTTAAGTGAGGTGTAAGTCAGGAGAGGGTTTGGCCCACCCAGATGACAGTGACAAGTAGTAATAGCGACATAAGCTCTTCTGTCTGGTCCCAGCACATTGGTCACTGTGCAGATGAGAAACGATTTCTGTGGTCCTGAGACCATTGCTAGGAGGCGGGTTCTGAGCCTCAGAAAATGGCATCATTATGTTTAGTTTCCTTCCTTATTGTTTCAGCTTCAGTAATGCCCTAAACAAATGTGAATTAAGTAACATTTAATTGCCTGTGTCTAACTCCAGTCAGTACGCTGGGACTGAGGCAGGACAAATCACTATGCAGTGAGTGTCGTGTTAGCAATACTCCATTTTAAGCCTGTTGTCTCGCCATTCCCTGCTGTTGTCTTTTAACTCTTCCCTGGTCCAGTTAGCTTTGCCTACTCCACACTGTGGACAAACCGGACCTGCTGTAGGCATAGCTTTCCCTGCCGTATGTTGGATTTAAAAGCAGACTAATCTGTATGAAATTAGTATGTGCTTATGTTTCATAAGTGCTGCATCTCTGTGGGAGGAATCCTTCTCCTGTAAACATCATTGGTTACTGAACAGGGGAGAGGGCACTCAAGACCAATAGGGCCTGTTGAGTGTCCTCTTGCTCCCAGCAAAGCTCCTTATCATTGTTTACCATGCAAACCAGATTTCTGACTAGGACATTAGGGGTTTCTGTTTGGATAATCCAATGGCTTCCTCTTCAAATGTGATCATTTATGGCCAGCTTTGTGATTTGTAGGTTGCCCACGTTTTGTAAAGGGGTGTGCGTGCATGTCAAAGAAATCAGTGTGAATTTCCTCCTCCTCGTTCTCCTTTTGGGGCCTCCAGTCCTGCTGCCAAGACCATGAATGCTGGGGCTACGTAGAGCTCCGAGCCACTGGCAGCCTTAGGCCTCTGCTCCTGATGCCTGTTGCCAAGGACCGTGTGATAAGACAGCTACAGTAGTAAAGCTGCTGATAGACCCAGCTGCCTTTCTCGGTACTCCGTAGCCTGGGCTATCCCTCTTTCTCTACACCCAGTTTCCATTACCTGCCCCTCTTGGGCTCCGGCACTGCAGGCTGGAGAGGTTTCCCTAGGGAATCCCCTTTCTTTACTTCTGCTGCAGGCATACCAGCTGGGTTGTGTTATGCCCTGCAGCAATTCACTGACTGGTGGCCATGTCTGGGCTGGGCAGTGGGTGCAGGCACAGAAGGAGATGCATGTCTCACTTTGCTTAGGGCAATGCAAAGGAGTGGGGGCTGGCTCTGCCCCAGCAGTTGCTTGGGCCGAAGCCTGGCTGTTCTGGGCCATGTGTATCTGCAGACATACTCTTATCTCTCCCCCCACACCCCTACCCAATCACAGGGAAGACCTCTTGCTCTTTGTTCTCCTCAGGTACATGATCATGAGGGAGTGCTGGCATGCAGTCCCATCGCAACGGCCAACCTTTAAGCAGCTAGTGGAAGACTTGGATAGGGTCCTTACTGTAACATCAACTGATGTAAGTGTTTCTCTCTGGTTAAAGATCAGTCCTGAACAGAGATGGGCCTGAACCAGAACCCTGCAGTTGATCTCCCTTGAGCTCTGGAGGTGGTTTGAAATTCAGACCTGGTCCCTATCTTTATGATGGACTAAGCCAAAATCCCAGAGCCCAAAACGCTCAAGCTTCAGGGGTGTTCAAAACCCGGCTCTGGCATTTCCAGATCTAATCCTAATGCTTGTGGTAACTGCAGCATCATTAGCTATCTCTTCTCCCCAACCCTCGACCACATAACCTTGTGACTTTTCTCCTTGCAGGAGTACCTTGACCTCTCCGTGCCATTCGAGCAGTATTCCCCCGCCTGCCAGGACACACACAGCACCTGCTCTTCAGGAGACGATTCCGTGTTTGCCCACGACCTTCTGCCAGATGAGCCATGTCTTCCCAAACACCAGCAGTGCAATGGTGTCATCAGGACATGACTCGAGAAACACAGACGGACCATGGAAAAAAAACTCACGAATGTAGGCTTGGGGGAGGCCGAGGACAAACCGTAGTGAAGGATCTTTGAATGAAACTGCTTGGTAATTCAAGAAGTTTTTTGTTGTTGAGCCGTAGAAGGGTTGTGGGGGTTTGGGGTTATTTTTTTTCCCATTTTGCTGTATAAGAAGTCAAAAAGCACTGTTTGGCCTGAAGGAACTAATCTCTTGCCAAGATGATTATTATATATATATATATTTCAAAAAAAAAAAAAAAAAAGTTAAATCTAGGGGTGCTGATCTCTGGACCTCCGGTAATGTATTATCGAGTGCCAGAGTTGCCATTCTGTGCCTGCAATACAAAGAAGAGGAAAAAAAAATCTTTCTTTTTCTGGGGAAAAGTGTAAAGAATCTAGAAATTCTTTGCTTATGCAATCTGTACATGAACCTTTTTGGTGAAGCTGAAAAGCCACATTGCCTGCAGGGATTAATATATTTATATAAATAGCTGTATTTTTGTTGGTTGGGTTTTTTATAGTCGCTTGATCATTACCCAGCTACTTAGAATTCCCCTCACCCCCTCCCCCCCAATTCCTTTTTTTTGACATAGTCAAAATCTCAAAGGAGTTAATGGTTTGGTAGCAAACAGCAGTTTGACTGTAACAGATCATAACCCACTCTTGCACTAGGGTTGCGGGTGACTGGTGTATATACAGAAGAGTCGGAACATTCCAAACGGAAGGGCAAATGCATGAAGGTCACTGTAACATGTTCATTTTTGGGTTCATAGGGAGGAAAGCATCAAAGTGGCAGGTATAAAGGTACCACATGTCTCCAGGGAATTGCTAAATAATTAAATCACAAGCAGAATTAGTCTCTGATCTTGCAACTTCTTACACATGGGCATCATAAAGCCCCCCATGATGACAATGGGGCTCTTGATGTGAATGCAGTATTTTGCCAGTGTGCTGCATGCTGCAGGATCAGGCTCTAAGAATGTAAAATTCACGCTCTTCCGATGGAGATTTGAGTTTTTGGGTTTTGCCTTTAATGCCCAAGAGAAGCAGCTGTTTCAGTACTTCTCCCCTTTAAAGCCAGCAAGTTGTCTCCATTCCATCCGCAGTGACTTGGAGAGAGAAATTACGGGTACCTGTAGGCAAGAGCCTTTAACTTATATCAAAAAGGTTTATTCCAGAGAATTGTGTACATATCTATAAATATATACTGTATGTGTGTGTGTGTGTATATATATATATAAAAGAATGTATAATACTAATGCAAAGTAAAGCAGTACTGAGAGGGAAATCTCTCAAAATAAGAGCATTGCAATCTAGGATATACTGATCTGGGCAAAAGATTTTGTTTTTATATCTTCACAGTTTTGTTTTAAAAATTGTATCTTAACATGTATATTTGTAAATTTATTTATAGACATTAACATATCTGTTCATTGATTGAAATAGCATAGCATTACTGTAAACTTTAAAATTTACTGCGTTTAAGTTCTTTAACTTATTAAATATGGAGAAAAATATATTAATCAAGTTTTTCTTTTGTGTTTTGGGAAATATTGAGAGAATGTATAGATGTACAGTCCTTTAACAAATTACATTTAATGTTATAAATATATATTCATTTAAAAAAAATTAGTTTATCCTGGATTGCAGTGAGCAAAGGTAAGTTTATTTTGCAATACATAGTCAGTGGTTAAATCCAAACAAATAACAGAGAGATGATTTTTACATATTTGAAAAACTAAGGCCAAGAATTCTTCCATCAGTTTAACCGCTGTGCATTAAGGGGTTGTGGGTGTTTATTTTTCTATTTTTGAATGAAGGTATTCTTTGTGGTTGGTCTTAAAAACAAGTATGCAGCAAAGCTAAATGTTGACTTTGAATGATGCACATTTATTTATTTTTTTTCTCTCCTTGCTGGTATCATTGCATTTTTGGATTTAAGAAATAACACACTGGCAAAACAGCAAGAGGAGCCACATTCTTTATATGGGAAGTACAATGATTGTATATCGTTTTAAGTCTCATGCATGCTAAAAATGCCAATAATGCCTAATTTGCTGAACCTAAATTTGTATGCTATTTATGTGCCAAATCACTGTTTAAAAGCACACTAAATAAACAGGGGAACTTTAGTATGGACCAGGAAGGCATGGGGAAGTATTTTTATGAGAAGATTTTAACTCTTTTACTAACACAAAGAGTCAAATATCATAATTACATGGTGGTTTGGTTTATTTTTTTCCCCTGTGCATACAACATATCAATGATTCAAAATAACAGGCCAACAGCATCTCACATTGGTATTATTTTTTTTAGCACCACAAAGCTCTTCTCATAAAAGTAGTAATTTATAGTTTGAAGTTATGTCAGTGGAAGTTCTTGAGAAAGTAGATTTCTATAGATTTGTTTTTCTTTTTTTTTTTTTAAATTAAAAAGAAATTTTGGTATTTTCTTACAAATGTCTGCTAATTGTACATTCCAAGTACCTAAAGCATTAGGTTTCCCATTAAAAATGTACACATTTGTGCATGATTTCAGATGTTATTAGATATTATAAATATATATATAATTTATTGAGGTTTTTACAAGATGTATTTGTAGACTTGTTGACTTTAACATTTCTTATACAATGCTTATATAGTTTTATAGCCTGGACTGTTATCTTTTAAAGCTTTTTAAAAAAAATTTAAAATTCCGATTTTGTTACATTTTATACTGTTGATGTTACAATCCACAGATTTGCATAGTGTGAAATTTTTTTTTGTTGGTGAGCAACTTTATTCAGTTTATTTTAATACTGTATTTCTTTTCCTGACAGCTGCAACTGTCAAAGGTGTGAAATGAACACTAAATAAACCTATTCTGCTTTTGTTAACATGAAAAAAAGTTTTTACCCAAAAATACAAATAAATGAGTTGTTGAATTTGTTTTTCCAGTTTTAATGGGCCTGTTCAGCAATAAATCCTGTTTTCAAGTGTGTCTTTAGTGATTGTCATGGTAGAGAGAGATTGTATGGTGCTGCCTTGTGATATTTATTTATAGGCCTAGTCTCCACCCAGATTTTGTGCAGCTCTAACTATTGTGGTTAGGGGAGTAATTTTTACCAATATCAGTTATTCCACTACAAGCCCTAGTCTACATACAGCGTACAGGTGCCCTATACTACTAAAAAGTTTATTCCCCTTCCTGTACTGGTATAAGCACCTTTACAGCAATGTAACTTCATCCACAGTGTAGGAGGGCACGTGTGAAGGCAGTTCATCTTTTGCATGGAGATAAAGCCTTACTCAGTTGGTGAAATCCTAGCTTTACTGAAGTCAATAAGAGTCTTGCCATTAATTTCAGTAGGGCCAGGATTTCCCCTAGATGAGTAATATTTACTCCCCTGGGTCAGTGAGGCTCCAGTGGTGTAAAATACTCTTCACTGTGAGTAAAAACATCAGTCTGGTCAGTGGAGACTATTTGGATTTGTCATTGTTGTCATGGGCCCAATCCTGTTTTCCTTACCCAGGCAAAAATTGCATTGATTGTAATGGCAGTTGGCTTTAATGTGGACGACAGGGTTGGTGCATTTAGTATCACGAAAAAAATCAAGTATTCTTGCAAGGTCCTGAGTGGCCTCGGCACCCATTGAGTGAGAGGTGAGGGCAATCAGACAAGGTCTTCAAAGGCATTTGATGCCTAACTGCCACTGATTTCAGTGGGAGTTACGGTGCCTTTAAAGATCAGGGCCTCAGTACCTTGCAGGATGGGGCCCTGTTACAGCCAGTCCTGCTGCCAGTGAAGGGCTGGGAGCCAGAGGGGGCCCAATGTTTTGCTTTGTGTTGAGGCGTGGGTTAGGTTTTTGCATTAAGTTGCCCCTGGTGGGATTTAAAACAACTGACCTATGTATCAGAAGCTTGAGCAGGCCTTTAGCTGTAATATCACCGCTCTCGAGCACCTAGGTTTCAGCTGTGCAACTAGCCAGACCTACTGAGCTCCAGTCCTTCAAAGACTTGTGTCCGTATTTAACTTCAGTTACAGGCCATGTCTACATGAAGGAAAATGTGTATCTTTAACATACGTTACATTCCCAGTGTAGACAAGGCAGCTGTAGTTTTAGCACTTTAGCCGGTCAGTGGAAATACTGCGGCGGGGAGCCCAGCCAGTGAACACAAGGCCACACTGTGTCAAGTTCATCCCATCCGTAAGTCTCTGCAGAAATGGTGATGAACATGACAGGTGTTAGCTGCAAATACAAGGGGGGGAAAGGAAATGTGATTTCTTGGTTTTTAGAATTTCCTTTGCATTTTAAGGAACACCCACTTTGGGCACTCTATGACATGTTTTGAAAGCAAACTGGATAGCAGAGTGGCTTATTTTTCATGCTTTGGGGGCAGATTTTAATTACGTGGAGTAGTGCCGTGGGCTATGTCTACGTTCTAGACCTGACAGCGACACAGCTGTACGGTCTCCTGCATAGCCACTCTGTGCTGATGGGAGAGAGCTCTCTCCGGCCAGCATAATTAAACCACCCCCAACAAGCAGCGGTAGCTGTGTCGGTGGGAGACACTATAGAGCTACCCACACCGCCACTTCTGTCAGTGAAACTTGTCAGGCGGGGGTGTGAAAAAACACCCCTGAGGGACATAAGTGGTAGTGTAAACAAAGCCTTAACTGACAGTCCCCGCTGACTCCAGTGGGATGAGTTAGGCATTACAACTAAGGGTATTAGAATTGACCCTTAATTTTTATATTCCTGCTTCCTGTCCAGTAGGAGGGTGTATTCTCAGGCATAGCCACAGTCACATATGATCAAAGCTTTTTGTTTTGAACTCAAGTCATTGGCTGAGCATATTTGTCTGTGGTGAGTGAATTAGTAAATGTCTTCAGCTGAACATGAAGACTGTCAGAGCTTCCTTTTCTCTGCTTATTGGAGCTGTAGCAAAGAGAGCTCAAACCTACAGGTGTTTCTACTTTTGCCTAAAGGGTACCAAGACTATACATGCTTGATGAATGTGTAGCCTTGTGTGTTAATTAGCCTTGAGTCTCTAACTGGGTGTCCTGAAACATTTCAGATATTGCTGTCAGGACATGTTGTGCTAACGTGCTATTCTAGGCTACACCTTTAGCCTTAGATGTTAGGATTGAAAAGAATCCTTGATATCATCTAGAAGTCCATCCCTGAATCGCTGCAGATTTCTGCAAAATCCTTGTTTCTTTCTCTGTCAAATTTTGCCTGGAATATCTGCCAGCATGGAGATGGCATGAGCTCCCTGGCATGTTATGTCTTTGCCCTAGTGATTGCTGCTGCTTTGAATCCTACCCAGGTTACTAGTGCCTAGAAGCTATTATCATGTGCTGACTGCCTGGTGGCCAGTTTTGAAATGGTGGGGGGGTTCTGAATCCATCTCCCGGAGGCAGTCTATATCACAAAGAACTGTGATCACAGCCATTGCTGCCTTCACTTTCCTCTCCTCCCTCTGGCTGGAGGGGTGTTCACAGGCCACTTCCCCTTGAATGGTCCCTTGAAATATGTGTTAACTACTTACACACTAAAGAATCTGTTCAAATCTTGTATTTAGCAGTGATACTCTGAGTTAGGGCAGGGTTAGAGTGCTACCGTGGCATAAAAAACCCACCTCCGTGAGGGGAATAGCTACCAGCACAGCTCCCAACACTGGTGCGCTGTCTACGCTGCCACTTTGCAGCTCTCAGGGGGGTGTTTTTCCACACTCCTGAGAGAAAGTTGCAGGGCTGTAAAGTGCCCATGTAGACAAGCCCTTAGTTTCTCAGACCAGAAGAGCTTGGTGTAAGCTCTGAAGTTTGTCACTCTCACCAACAGAAATTGGCCCAATAAAAGATATTACCTCACCCGCTTTGTCTCTCTGATAACCTAGGAGCAACATGGCTACACCAGTGCTACATGATGGTGACTGGCACTCAAGGGTGAGCAGCCATTGCAGCGAGGCTGAGATGAAACCGAGGTGGTTCCGGATCTTCTTTTTATGTTGGTTTTACACCAGGGGTTTGTCTACCCTATACATCTACTGTGTGGTAGCCAAGACTTGAATCTGTTGCATGAAGTGTAAAATAGTCTGTCCAAGATGCTCCCCTCAGGTGAGGGTTAACCCACCTTCCTTCGCTATGCAAGACTCAGTGTTGCCACCTGTGCTTGAGAGATGACTGCAAGATACAGGCTGTCAACCTCACACCAGCAGAAATAAGTTCCCTTGATTTCTCCCCTCTGCTCACCAAAATGAAGCAAGAAGGAATGGTTGCAAGTGTATATAACCCAACTACCTACAAAAGCTGGTCTGGTAGTGAGCATTCCTTGGGTAACTACTGTCTGTAAAATAAATACCCTTTGCAAGAGGATTGGCAGTAAGCTTACCTTTCCTGACACAAAAATTCCTGTAGGCACTGACAGAAAGCATGGGAAAAACTCATGGAGAGTCAGCCCTCTGCCGTCTTGGGTCTCATGATGTCATTCTTCCTTTATTTACCTTTCATTAGCAGCAGTATTAACTTTGTGGGGTTGGGTTTTGTAGGGCAGCTGAGGCGGAGCGGAGGTGAGCTGGGGTGGGGGGCCGTGAGGAGGGCCGCCCGTACCACAGCAGGTAACCTGGGGGACGTGCAGGGGAACCATTCCCCGCCCCAGCTCACCTCCGCCACCCTTGGCCTGAGCATGAAGTCGCCGCCTGCTTCTCAACCCTCCCTGGCTTCCCGTGCAAACAGCTGATTCACGGGAAGCCGGGGTGGGGGGCACGGAGAAGCAGAAGAAGGTTGGTGCGTTCAGGGGAGGAGGCGGAGGTGAGGTGAGCTGGGGCTGGGTGGGGAGCTGCCGGTAGGTGCTCTGCACCCACCAAATTTTCCCTGTGGGTGCTCCAGGGCTGGAGCACCTATGGAGTTGGCGCCTAAGGCACCACTTTTGATGTGATCAGTGGGGGGAGTGGCTGCAACCCCCCCCTCCCATCTATGTTACCCTGCCCCTAGGAGCCAGAGGGACCTGCCCCAGGTAAGCACAACCAGGACTCCCCACCTCACCCCTCACCCCCAGCAGGTCCCTCTGGCTCTTAGGGGTGGGGTGGGCACCCACTACGGTGGCCCACGAGACCCTCCTGCCCGGTTCTGGGGGCAGTCAGGGGATAGGGGAGGGGGGGTGGATGAGGCAGGGGTCCCGGGGGGGGGCATCAAGGAACGCACGGGGTTGGAGGGGGCAGGCGTCCCAGGGGGCAGGGGTGGGCAATGACCCCCTTGTGGGGTGAGGAGGGAACCAGTTAAGATTCTGGCAGCTCATCACTGGGCACATCACCTTGAATGGTCCCGTAGAATACTTATACTAAACCACATGTGGGCATGGTGGTGTAGGCTGGCCTTGCTCCGTACATGACTCCTGTAAGTGGAAGAGGGAGGCATGGCCCCAGCATCATGAGCACAGGAGAAGGAGGCAAGACCTTTTGACTCAGCCCTGGTGCCACGTGAGAAGATGCTAGCGCTGCACCATGACCAAAGGGAAAATGGGAAGCGCCGTGCCCGGTTTTAATCAGTGGGAAGGCAGAAAGCTGCAGTAGCCAGCTGTAAAAAACCCTATTTTAGGGCTCTAGCAGTGCCAGCTCCCAAAAGACATGCTGGGAATCAAGTTCCCCTAAGAAGGCCAAGCAGTGCTGGGGAGAGTTTGTTGGCAGCAGGGCGTCACCAAGAAAGGTTCTCCTCAGAGGGCGTTCTCTGCTGTGTCTTATCACCACTGAAGTGCATTCGCCCACTGATACTTGCTGTGACCATGCCTTTGACTCAGTTTCCCTGACTATAAAAAGGGGTCGATAATCATCATAGGTTCGGAAATTCCATGGCATACGATGTATGCGGCATGTCAGCTAGAGTGTCACTCTCTGCACCCATGAACGTACAATCTAAGGGTATGTCTACCCTTACTGGGGCTCA